TCGTCTACGTTTTCTTCTCGTCCTCTTCTCTGTCCTCTTCTCTCTCCTCTGCCTTTTCTGCTCTTTTGCTCAGGTTAATTCCATTGGGGGGTGGGTCGATGTGGCAGGATTTCAGGGCCGAGCAAATGCGGACTAAAATCGTATTTGGGGGACCTGACCGAGCTCGACTACTTGGTGTTCAAGAAGGGTTTTTGCTGTGCCGTGCCGTTGTGGCTCCTTGAGAGGGGCCGTGACGATAGCGAAGGCCCCTGAAGGCCGGGAAGCCGCAGCTTGAATCCACACATCGAGTTCTTCCCCTTTGACACCTGAATTCAATCATCTGCCTAGAAGGCGCTCACCATCTTCTTTTGCTTTCTATGAAGAAGGTCGGTTTTGGGCGCCCTTGAGGGTTGCTGAGGGCGGTGGGGTATTCGAGAATGGGTCTTCACTAAAACGCCGCACCCGCTACCGCAGGGTCAGCACGCGAAGATCCACGATGTCTCGGGCGATCCTGTTGACCCATTCAACGCAATGCAAGAAGACGAATCGGGAGTACATTCCAGCAATACTGTGGAGGTTTCTCCGAGCACGACTGCGTATTGGGACAATGGATGATCATGTAAATGTTCAAGTAAGTAAAGCCCGTGGAGAAACTCACCTGGCTGTCGACGTTCTGTTGTGATTTGTATTCATTTGGTCCAAAGACCAGTTCAAGATTCAACTGCTTGTATCCGTTTGCTTTTGCGACTCACTCTTTTGATAAAAGTCTCTGTTCACGTGAACTAGCTCGGAAACCTTGGTTTGTGCTCATGAAGATGAGTTGAGGTGTGGGGGTGTGGCGTGTTGCTGCATCCGAACAAGAAGATGTGGTAAACCAAAATCACTTGGTGGTTGCAAACACTGGCTGCAGTCAACTGTCGTGCCTGTCACTAGCCAGAGTTGGTGATGGCTTTTCGGTAGTAGATGCACAAAAAGACCGAGGTTCGCGTTCACATATCGTAGCTGTCCTGTTCTGGTACGAATGTCCGCAAGAATCCATCATGCATCCGTAAAAGGATGTGGCCAGCAGCTTCCCTGTATGTTTGGGGTTCCGCGTTCCATAGTCCGTAATGAGGCTACGCAGGAAGAGGCGATGGAGCCCATTGATTTCACGACGTCTTCAAGGAACACATGATTCTAAGTATTTCTCTGCTTGTGTGCTCGCATGTGGCATGCGTTTAGGACAACATTACCTGGAAAAGAGTGGCAATACGTGAAAGAGCATGGGCCCTGGCCTGACGGGAGTAACGAAGGTGGCAAAAGGTCTGCCCCAGTTTGCTTCGTCGAATCTCGGGCGGGTCAGGCCTTCTCGCGCTTCGGTCAGCAAAGGAAGGCCTTCGTGAAAGCACGAGGTGATGGTCGTGCTACCCTCTTGGCACGGCTGGGATGGTCGGTCATGGAAGTCATGGAGGTCAGTGGAGGGTCCGCCGTTGCCGCGCCCTTGCTCCTTTTGCGGGCCCTGAATGCCCGAAGGCGGAGTTCCACTGGAAACCGATCGAAGGTTACGAGATGGAACTGCCTTCGAGGGCGACGTTCACATAGAAGGCCAAAGCCTTCCGGCTTGCGTACATGCTGCACATGCTGCATTCTTTCAATGGGTACCCGAGTAACGGACCAGGTACGCACAGCCCAAGTGGCGATTCGTAGCAGTACAGGACATCACGGAGCACTGCTTGACACTGCACGCATGGAGCATGTTGAACAGGATGCCTGGGGACTCCCCTCACTGGACGACGGTTGGTAGGGACCGCTGACGGACCCATTGTCGACGCGTCGCTGGGCCACGCTTCCCTGTCCATGTTCATGAAAAGACTCCTGAATATGATCCTCTTAAAAACCCAATAAGGAAACTGTGAAAGTTCCCAGGGGCCCTACCTACCTAGCAACTTGTATGGTTTCCTCAACCTTCCAGCCCAAACCTGCCTTTGTTGCAGCTCGTTGCCTTCGATATTGGTTTTGGGTCTATGCCATGGCGAGACCTGAGGGGTCGCATCTACGGAGGTGTTTGGACATAGACGTACGGACCCAAGAGGAGCCCTAAACCATAAGACCTAAACCCGTTAAGGTAGAGCAGAGCCTCATGAATGAAGTTTGCGCCGAGGGTTGGAGTGTTGCCTCTCATTTCTATGACAAAGCTTCAATATGAGATGGAGAGCAGCCCATACAGCTCCTTCGGAAGGACTTTTGACGGCGCATTGGCCTTTTTGGTCCATCTGATGTGTTAAGTAGAAGTGTCTACCGCTCGGGACGGCCGCCTAAACATGAGGGCCTGCCAGACAAAAAACACAGACAAGCATTACAGACAGTAAGATACAGACACGTTCAGACACTCAGCGACCCGTTCGTTGGTGACACAATGCGGCTTGTAGGAGAAGCACCCTCCAAACCCAATACCTTGCGCCCCGAAAACCTCACCTCCACCAAAAGTCTGTTGCTTGCAGTACAAGCTGTTGCATCATTCTTCCACCAGGGCAGCCTGCTGATTGCTCCCGCAAGCCCAAGGACCCCACTACTACTACAGCAAAGGTTTGTAACAATTCAACACCATGGAAAAAGTATCAAGCTTCGAGCGAAACATGAACTTTGGCGAACACTCCCAACAGAGTTGTGCTTTACCTGCGTTTCGTGCACGCACCTTGTCCAGCACGGCCCCTGTCCCACAGAGCAAAAGCAAAACATGAACTTCAGTTGGGCGTGCTGCTAGTACAGGCTGGGTGACATCCGACTTCATACAGTTGTCCTAGTTTTTCGTGTGCAAAATTCCGCTGTTAGGATTTAGGCAGCGGTTTCCAGCGCTGGCTCCGCCATGTCAGTGCAACCTCGCTTTGACCGTTCGCACAAGCCACTCTCACTGCACTCAGAGAAAGAGAGTGGCAGAAGGAGTGCAGGCCATAAGGAGAGGGCAAAAGGAGATGGCAAAAGGAGATGGCAAAAGGGGGGAAGGGGGGGGAAGTGAGACCAGCTCCAGGAAGTTCCTCTCCCGTGCCGCTCAAAGCGCAGCCCGGGGGCCTCTTGGTGTTTTAAGACTCGTTTGACTCGTTTCCCCCCGCGCCTGCACGGTCCACTGACTTTACATATCTACTTTTGGTGCGTATGGATCTCAGCACCGCAGCAACTGATGCCGGGGAGAACCGACTGCGGAAAATATCGAGTCAGAAGGAACTCGAGCTGAAAAGAGACGAAATGTTCAATGTCTGCCCTTCGGCGATTATGCACGGGAAGTTTTCTTGGGTTGTGGCAATGAATGCAAAAGTAAATCTAAAGATTAGTCTTCCGAAACATGACACTTCAGAGGTTTTTCGTCTTGGAGAGTTAGCCGTTCTTCACTTTTGTGTTTCCTTTTTTTTTTTCTGAGGCAAGACATGAACAAACTAAATCGGGAAATCCCTTGATGACCGGCGCGAAATGTGGTTTTCCATAGCCAACTGTGCAAGAGGAGGCAATGGGTATCTTCCTTAGGCTGTCGGAGGGAACTGAATCCTGAGGTAGGGCCTGTCTTTGGAGGGGCCTGAATACTCTTACATGTGCTTCGTTTCAAAACGGGCTTCTGGAAACCATTAACTCCAGACGGAGAATTCGTCGGTGTGCCACCAAGGTAGCAAGCAATCGGAACTTGCATTGCTTCCAGAGCTTGCCTGGGCATTCGATTCTTTTAAATGCTGAGTTTACTCCTTTCCATGGTTTAATGCGTGATTAATTCCACATGGTAGCTGACATATCTCTGGAAGGAAAGCATGGTACTGATGAATATTGCCTGGCAGACAGGCACGGAAAAACTTGCTTTCGTTATTTCTGAAAAGTCCGTTCGCATAACGCAGTATCCTTCCTGTCATACATCTTAGAACTGGCGAAACGTCAAACGATAGGGGGTTTGCGCACGCAGGCTTCTGCAAAAATCACGATGAGATCTTTCAGTCTTCCCAATCGTATTGCAGCCCCAAAACCCAAACCCAGCGCGTCAAAGTGGAAGCAAAGCCCGCCCCGTAGCAGTTGCCAGGCCGGCGAGTTCACGAAGACATTGGCGCAAACCACAAGAGCTCTTTTCTGAGCACGGTGGCAGGCACGCAGGTCTTCGTTTCGACCAGCTTTGTATTAGTCAACGCAGCTGAGCTCACATCAGGGCGCATCTGGAGTCCCACTGCCTCATTTCGACGTCCTTCCAGTGGGTGCGTTGGTGCCACAGGACACTGCAGAGCCTAAAATATGAACACAAGATGGGCGGATGCTTTCGGATGGCATTGCATCAGGACAACATGGATGGCATATGTTGCGGAGGCGGCGTAAAGTTCCCCTGAGTTCAACAGTGGAGCATAGGCTCTTGTTCATAGTCCTTGTTACGTCACCCCTTTGAAGTCTCTTGGTGCACAGCTTGCCCTGTTTTGCCGAAGGCTGAAACGGAAGCAGAATTTAAACCAAGAGGCAGAGGCTCGCAAAAAAGTGGTTCACGCATGGAGCATTGGAAGTTCACAACTCTTGAGCAACACTTCTGTTCTCTGTCTCTGTTTCACTGTGAACGTACGTATAAGAGTTCTCCATGCTGAGAGTTGAAAGTCTTATTTCTCAGCAACCGAGTATCGAATAACAGTGGAGCGAGATGGATTTCAAGATAACAACATTTTTTGACCTCATCAGCGCCCGTTGTACAAAAGAGAACAAGAGAGTTTTTGCGCGAGCACAGTTGACAGAAGCGTGGACGCGATGCGGAGAAAGGGTCGACTTTTGATATTAGGAGGGCACGTTCCCTTTAATCGTACGGACCCTTTCCAATACTTGACGCCGGTGCTGCGGTTGCCTCTAGCAGCAAGGCGCAGCAAGATGAGATAGCCCAACAAACACTGCCGGTTCCCATAGCTCTTTTCCACACGGCCGCATGGGTTCCTGTACGTTCAAATGGTGGCTTCCAGGAGCTTTCGCGCACTTCCCAAGGCCAAGGCCAAACCCATCTTCGACCTGCATTCGTATTGCAGTTCCAGTTGCAGTTCCCGATTCTGTGACACCGTGACAGTGCCAGCCGTTTCCCCTCGTGAAGATCGTGGGACAACACTTACTTTCACCTTGAGATCACGAAAGACGACATGTCTCAGATCCAGCACATCACTGCAAGTGATATGGTCGGGGTTGGGATTCGTAGACACGTGTGCGATTTTGGGTGACGGATCCTGACTCTGTCGGCAACACGGCAGAAACTTGCAAAGTGGGGATGTGTCCAAGATGGTTTGGCACGGTGCGAAGCTGCATTTTGAACGTCAAAAGGATGCAAAAAAGGCAGCGAAGAATGACTGCTATGTGAAGCAGCATGAGGCTGAAAAGGAAGGTTTAGCATATCCCGTGATGGCCAGCAGCACACATAGCAACGTCAGACAGTGCGAGAATTATCACATTACTGACACTTGCCAACGCTTGGAGAACGCTTGATGCTGGGGCTGCACAGACAACGTAACATACACAGACGCATATCTAACGAGTCTGACGAATGCTAACCGAACCACGCGTAGCCACGGCAAGGATTTTAGGAATATTAGATTAGGAACCGTTTAGGATGGCGGCTGCCAAAGTCCGAACAGGGCGCTGTTGCATTTGAGCGGGTCCTCCGTCGACATCTCTCAACAAACTTGTAGCCAGGGCAGTTGTGTACGTGTTCGAGACAGTGAGACAATTGCGGCGTTTGAATGTGGCAGGTTCTCTGCTATGTTCGTGGGAAAATCCTGAACATCGCTGCAGCAAAACTGGGCCGAAGAAGACTGACAAGGCACAGCAGAACCACCGTGGTTCACCTATATCAGTCACGAAGGGCAAGTGAGTTAAGCTGCGAGAATCTTCATTGCGTTCATTGCGTTTCAATCCTTCGTAGAGGTTTTTCAACGATTCAAGTGGAGAAAACCTCAACATGGAGCCTGGCGCCCAGACTCCGCTTCGGCACGTGCCAATGCAGGCTGCCTCCACCAATGTCAGGTCAGATGCGCATTCTGTGCGCAGCGCCGAGATGCTGACCATTCACCGTGCATGATATTCGCCGCCCTCGGGTGTAGGGGGTTATGGCCTGTTCGATCTTACTCAGTCAGTCCAGCTGGCTCTCCTGTACTGCGGCTCGGGTCTACTGGTCCGGGTCTTCCACATCCGGAGAATCTCGTAAAGTTAAGTATTTCCTGGAGCGGCATGACCGCCCACCCGCAGCAGAGAATCCCGCGCAAGCCTGTGGAGAAGAACGTGGAGTTTGCTGAGGGGCCTCCCGAGAAAGCACCACAGAGAATTCCACCGACTATAACTCACCCAAGAATCCCACACAGCATCCCTCACAATCCTGCAAAGGTCCAGAGCACCAAGCCCCAGAAATCCTGCAGCTATCTCAAGTGGCCACCCTCAGAGAAACCTGTGGAATCTCGCAAAGTATCTCGGGTGTTGCCCAACCTCTGAGAATCCAACGAGAATGCCGGATTCTTCCTTGCCCGTCGAATATTTTGGGACTGTTGGGTTTGGGTGGGGCTGTGCGAGGTCAAAATTGTTCCCCCATTTGGGGGGGGGGGGGGGGGGTTTTTTTCTCATGTCTACTAGGACCTTGCAGGTCAGGCTGTTGCTTTGACAGCTGTGGCACCTCCACCCACCATTCCGATCTGTTTGCAAGCTTACGGCTTCGGATCTTCGTGGCCAAACTGCAGAATGGCCAGAAATGCAACACTGTAGGTCAGAGCTACTTCCTAGCGAACATCGACAGGTCACAAAACGCTTGCCTTTCTCACAATCCTTCCGATGCATTTCTCTGAGGCCGTGCAAGTACGCAGAAAGAGCCCTTTGCAGAGGAGGATGAAGTCAGGACCAAAACAGTTGCACAAGCACCCTGGCATGTGGCAGGGCAGTAGCTTTCCCTGATAGTGCCTTTCTAATTGTGCCCTGATAAACGGTCGACGCCGGGCATAGCGGGCGCATGGCATCGCATGGCGGCGCATGGCGGCGCATGGCGGCGCTTGGGCAGGATGCTGGGCATGCTCTGCTGGGGAGGCATTCGAAATTATACCAGCAGGGCCCCCAGAAAGCGGCGTTGAGTGCAAGGAGTGACGCGTGCACAAGGTGTGTCATCGGAGAATGAGAGAGCACTCTGGCGTGGCAGGCGGCGGAGGGAGGTGGAAGCAGAACTCAAGCAAGAGTTCAGCTTGTGCGAGGCTTGACAATTTCACCAGTTTTCACCCGGTGTGACACGTTGTGTCACCCGACTCCGGCATGCAGAGAACTTGCAACATCAAGCATCACGTCCATAAGGCCAGAGGAGGCGACAGCAGTTTTACGCGAGTTGAGATCGAGGCATTCCACCGCACCTGCGAGGTTGCAAGGAGGTTGCAAGGGCTTCATTTCGGAGTGGGGAAATCTGAAGCTTTGTTTTCTGTACCATATCTTGCAAAGCGCGAACAGACGAACACATTGGAATGCACCAGCACTCACGCAAGAATCACTGTGAATTGAACCTCGAGCCGAGTTATATTGTCTTGCCATATTGAAGGCACATTCTAAAGGCATTTCCGGCAGAAGCTCTAGTTGACTTCCAGGGACGGAAGTCATTCACATCAGCGGGACCTAGCGAGTCTTTTGACCTTGTTGCCCTTTTTGGCCTTGTTGGCCTCATGCCGGACATGTTGCCAAATACAATGAACTTTCCGGCACTACGGGGTGGCGCTGCACAGCGTCGCTGGCAGATGTCGTTAGTTACCATGACCTGCAGCAGTTGGAACGTGAATCGTGTGTTTGGGGTGGAAGCTGTCCCGATGCTGGGTGTGCGATGTGAAGCAAAGGCGACGTGTCAAGCGCTTCGCTTTGATATCCGCAAGTGGGGGCTCTGCCTCACTGGCGCCCAGTGAAGCAGGCTCAGTGGGGGTGGACAATATACCTGCAGAATCGCAACAGGCAGCCCATGGCAGCCCATGGCAGCCCGACAAACTAAACGACCTCAACAACTCAGCATACCAAACTGCTCATCGGATGTCTTGGATGCCTCATGCAAGCAGGACAGCAGGGAGGCAACGATTCTGGTAAAGCTTTGAGCAGCAAGTTCGGATGCAAGACACTGCAGGCAACAGAAAGGCAGCATTGCCAGAGGCCCAGAGGCACCCGACCCTTTTGCAAGGGACAGCAAGGGACTGAAGGCCGGACATCAAGGAATCCACAGCGTGAGCGGCGTTCGCAAGATTTCGCAAGCGGGTGTCGACCAGAGATTGCTTTTGCAAGCAGATGGGCTCTCGACGTCGAGTCGTTGGACATGGTAAGGTATGGTCGAACTTGTGAGTCTGGCAGTGTGGCAGGCCCTACGCGCATGTCTTCTGAGACTCTAAATGCCTTAATCTTGAAAGGTTCCTAAGCTTCAGCGCTTGCTCCCACCTACATGGGACGTTGCGTTCGCTTGGCGTCGTGAAGAACCTGTTCGCCATGCCGTCGCGATGCCGCGGCAGGCATTGCTCGTGATGGTTATGGCCAGTTATGGCCACCCTCATCGGGGGGTGGCCCAGACTTGCACGAGATTCCTTCGGATCGGCGAGACGCCTCATGCCATCCGGCACGGCTTGCTGCTCCCACGTGACGTTCGGAGGCTTCTGTGCATCCCAGCATCAAGCAGTTCGCATCGATCAGCCCGACATCCTCACCATCGTGATCCATCGTGATCATCGCCATTGAAAGGCTCCGAGGACTCGCAGAAACCGCTTCCAGAACTTGGGAAAAGCGGCGCGCGTTGTAACAGGGCCGAACGGCAATGGTTGGTCTTGAAGCTCTCGCGGGAGTGCGGCACATGCACCGAGACTTAGGAAGTTAGGAGTGGGGTCGTTCCGCCACGCTTAAACAGTGAAGCGTTCGTTTGAGACAGCGTTTTGCACGTGTCCATTTTCTAAGACTTTTTTGGAGTGGCTTGGTGTGGGCCCTTTCAGAGTAAAAAAGGTAGCGTACCGATCAATGGATATCAAAGCACGCTGTTCTGCTGGCAAGGAAGGGTTGGAACATGACGAAACATTTTGCAACTTGCTGTAGCTAAGTTGTACTATGTAGCGGTTTGGAACCACATTGGAGTAACACCCTCATCATGTACTCCGGATGTGGAGCAGATGTGGCCTTTTGCGATAGTCAAAATCTGGAACAACGCCCCGACCCTGACGCTTCCGCGCTCCTTCCTTGCAGGCGTGCGACGCCAATCGGATGTCCTCCGCCAGTGCCGAAGCCGCGTGTTGGCGCCAGCCTGAGTGCGGCACTGCGGCAGTGCTTCAATCATGCTGGATACAGTCATGCGACAAGACACGGTTGCAGAGGAAAGTCGAAGTTGCACGGCCGGCATGCTTGGGTAAGGAGAAACTGGTAGGCAGGCAAGTGGATGCGGAAGTGCAAGTGTCCTGTGTGCTCCAAGTTTACGTAACATCCCGAAGCTTCGAGGGTTCGATATGACTTGCCGTAGACGACCTTCAGACTCAAGGAGTGCCTCAAGCCGAAACGCAATGGCCCGAGTCTCCCGAAGCGATGCCCTTCGGATACCTTGTGCTGCCAGACCCCGCCCCCCCCCGTGGTCCGGCCGCCCTTGTGGACCCCCCGCAGTGGGGGTTTGACGGGATTACGGGATATTACGGGTGGGCAAGGGTTTAAGGCTTTAGGGTTTGAGGGCAGGGTTTTCAAGTTTTTTGGAGGGTTTTGCCTCTCTCCGTGTGTGTGTTTTTTCCCCACCCTCGGTGTGGGGTTGTTAGATTTTAAACTCAACTCTTCTCCTCGCCCGGAACTTTTTTCTCGCCCGGTCTACTTTTCGCTCATCCCAAAGTGTCCCTGGAGTGCCCAACCTCAGAGTGTCCCCGGAGTGCCCAGCCCCAGAGTCTCCCTGGAGTGCCCAACCCCAGAGTCTCCCTGGAGTGCCCAACCCCAGAGTGTCCCCGGAGTGCCCAGCCCCAGAGTATTTCTGGAGTGCCCAGTGGCAGAGTCCCTGAGTGCCCAACTCCACAGTGTCCCCGAGTGCCCAGCCCCAGAGTGTTCCTGGAGTGCCCAACCCCAGAGTATCTCTACCAAGAGAGGGTGGGGATGTTCGAAGTCAAATAATTTTACCTGATTTGATTAGGGCGTTGAGGGCGTTAGCGTTCTCAGAGTTTAGAGGACAGAGTTTGGGGGTTTCCGTGAGGCTTGTGATTCATTGTTGAGGGGGGGATACTGACACGGGACGCGGAACCATTCATGGGCCACATCCTCTCACCACATTGCCTTTCATCACATTCCCCTTCGGTTGAGCGAGCTCATTCCGGTCACAGCGCTTCTGCAGCAAGTAGCTAGATGGTACATTGTGCAGCAGAAAGCATGGCTCGAATGGCTTGCAGGCCGCCCATTCCGAAGCCACTAGAGCCGCAGCATCGCCCACCTCGTCACATGCTCACTCTGCGCAGACTGCAGAGCCAATGAGTGTTACATCATGTTGCATCCTTTCAGTCGCTTTTGTGTTCAAGGATGGGGTATGCCAGACACTTCAGAGAACGATGCTGCAGATCAGGACCGGATACTGACATGGAAATTTGATGTCAGGGATGCCAAGTATTTCTGCCGTGTCAGGCACATTCACAAATCCCATGGTGGAAGTGTTCCACTCAGTCACTCAGGGGAACGCACGAACATTCTGACAGACTGGAGATTGCAAGTGACCAAGAGCGTGAACGGATTTCCGATCGAGTGTAAAGTGGCTAGAAGTTTGAAATCCGCATCTACTTCCAGATCACATCAAAGTCAACATCTACTCGTGCTGCCCGCAAGCGGAAAAGGGCGGAAAAGGGCGGAAAAGGGCGGAAAAGGGCAGTCCCACGTTGCCAAACGCACTCTGCAACTGACATAAACAGCGCCAGTATGGGACGGAAAGGGTCGTTGGCCAAAACATTCTCTTACTCCGGCCTACGCGTTTTTTTTTCTTCATGTTTTGCGTTGTTCGCATTTTCCCTACATGTGTCATTCAAATATGCTATTTTGTTTTTGTTGAGGCCTCTCTCCTTAGTATCGTTTGATCAGCTCCTGAGTTTTTACATTATGTTCGAAGATGTCGTCGTAAGTATTGGATAGTTTCGCGTTGTCTTCTTTGGACTTGAGACTCTTAGGTGTATGCTGTTTTTAAAGATCTGGTCTATACCCGAATTCCTCTACATTTCGTGTTCTTGTATGTTGGTTAGCTCATTCACGGGCTTCTGTTGCTTATTCCCGCCCCTGTTCCCATGATTATCAGATCGGGGTTCTTCTCTACGAAGTCCCTTATTCTGTTTAACGCCCCTGGCCATTGAAATAGACCTCGTCGCAGACTATACTTGTAGCATGATACCCGGAGTCATCCACATTTTTGGACGAGCTTGTTAGCAGGACACACGAACAAGACCCTCCACCCCATCTGAGCCAACCTCTCGCAGATATACGGCTTGCCCGACCCTGCGAACTTCGCCCTGATCATTACATGTTTGGCTTGTGCTATTTTCCCTGTGATGTCTGGCGTATCGTATTCGTCCTGTGTTTGTTATTCCTGCCACCTCGTTCGCCTTCGGTTCGCATCAGTCGGATTGAAGCAGCAGTCTTTCTTCCTTGCTTATCCTCCAGTTCCCTATCCCCCCTGATGAATTTTCAATACCTTATTCGCCTTTACACTTAGACCTGCATCCTGTTTTGGATCAGCCTGTGGTAGTCCTGATACATCTTGAAGTTATGACGCTGCTTGTAAGTCCCATGCTTTGCTGAGGTTATGAAGGCGATGCTTTTCCGATCTGTGTTCCCCGTCTTCTCCAAAAGTCCTATGTTAGCGTTGGCTAGGAGTTTCTTTATGAGCTGGTCCAGGTGCTCGTCAATGCGTACAGCTCTTTGTAGCTGATCCAGGGCCTTTTTTTATACAACTGTCGTGTTAAGTTGCTTCAGATGCCAGAAACTAGGTTGAACTTCTTGTCAAACATGATCTTCATGTCTCCCCGAGCCTCTCTAAAATCCAGTGTGTAATCTGACAGCTCGTGACCATCGACATTCTGATATACCCTCCATTTGTCGAACTGCTTAAACACTGGAACTTCTTCAATAACTACAAGTCTCCTTGTGACTGCTTTTAATATGTCGGCTTCTGATTGGGCCTTTTCCTTCGTCAATCGCCCCGATGCTACTATTGCCTTAGCCTGCTCGTGTGTCATCTACGGTTATGTTTCCGTCTGCCGAGTGTCTTATGAAATCCTGTTATGAATATTGTCCTGTTGACATGGGCTATTTATGTCACTATCCCTGCGTGTAATGATCGTTGGCTCGTATCCTACCCCGATCATTTGGAAGAAACCATGTCACCTAAGTTGTTCAACTCGAGGATCACACATTTTGTTACGGCTTCGCCCTTTGGGGGGCTCAACATATGTAAGCTCGTCGGCATGCCTGAACATTTTGTATTCTGCAGGCTCTTCCTTTTCGTTTTAATCTACCCTCCCTTCCTCGTGTCTGCTCCAAACTCTTGATATTTCCATTGAAGGCGTAGATTTGGCCGTCCTTACCCATCGAAGAAAAGGGCTAAATATTTTGCATGGATGTTTGGGGGTCGTGCCTGTACATGAGATCTAGAAACTGATCGTACATTCTGGCTGGTGTGTTAAAGCCCCCTGAAGACCTTGTCCCCCTTGCTGTAAAAACCGTCCTTCCCGTGATTTTCACACTCTTATCTACTGTTAGTTTCTTCCCCCCGCGATCGTCCATGAGGGCGTCGAGGGCATTCTTGCAAAATTTGTTTTTCGTGTTCTCGGGTTTTGCCTTTGCCCCATTTACGCATCCCATACTAGGCTTCACTGCTGTTAACACATACCTGTGCAAGATGGTCAATCTTCTCACCGCTTTTCTTAGCTACCTCGACGCCTTGGAGCTTAATAGCATTGAAGACCTCGTCGTAGTACGCCGACAGGTTCTCTGAGTCGCTTGAAATCCTTGTCTGTGCCTAAGATGTTGATGATTTCTTTACACTCTGGGTTCTCATTCTCTTTCGCTTTTTGAGTCGAAGTCTTCGCCTCTAGTGTATCTAAACATGTGTTTTTTAAAATGTTTTTATATCCATTGTTTCTTTAAAAAAACCTTTGCTGTGGCTAGCGTGTGTAGCATCAACATTTTCGATGTACAACTTGTGCGAGAACTTGTTAAAGGTTGGGGCGATTTAAGGTGCACAGGCTTTGGCCTTTTGAGGGTGGCTTTAAGGGTTGCGGGCGTTTTAGGGTTTGGGGCTTTTCGGGTTTTTCGGGCTTAGGGTTTTAAGGGTTTAGGCTAGGGCGTTCTAGGATTTAAAGCTTGTAGGTTTATGGCTTTGGGGATTTAGGCTTTCGATTCTTTAGGGGGTGCGGGGTTTGGGTTGCTAGCGTGTTTAGGGTTTCGGGGTTGAAGGGCTTCGGGCTGTGGATTGTTTAGGTTTTGGCTTCAACGGGTTTATTAGGGGGGTTTTAGGACTTATGACATGGGCGTTTTGGGTTTGAGGTTGTCCGCAGAGGTTTCGGGTGTTGAGGGTTTAGGGTATTTGGGGTGTATGGGCTTTGGGCTTTGGGGTGCCCAGCTCCAGAGTTTACACCCCACCCCCCCCCCCCTCCCCGAACCGAGCCCCGCTTGGCCGTGTGGGTTTTACCCGAACCTGATTCAGGTTCAGTGAACCCAAACCTTCCCGAACCCCAACACCCCCCGCCCTGCTCACGCCAAACTCTGAACGTGCCCCCAACGCCAGACTCCTTACAGACCGCTAGAGAACCCTAGAGACCTTGATGGTGATGTAGGGATTGGGTTCAGGATTTAGAGATTGAAGGTTTTTGGATTTAGGATTTTAGGTTGTTTAGGGTTCTTAGGGCTCAGGGATATGTTTTAGGTTGAGGGATACGGCTTCGGGCTAGGGCCTACAGGGCTTAAGCAGGGGTTAGTCTTTGGTCGATTTAAGGTGAAAAGGCTTTGGCCTTTTGAGGGTTAGGGGTTTTAGGGTAAAGGGCTTTCAGGGTTGAGGCGTTTTAGGGTTTGGGGCTTTTCGGGCTTAGAGGGCGTTCTATAGGGTTTAGAGCTGGTAGGTTCATGCCTTTTAGGGTTTAGGCTTCTTTTCTTCGGGGTTGAAGGGCGGAATGTGTGAGTAGTGTAGCCACTGCCAGCACCTACTCGGGCATCTACTGCGGTTGATTATAGTAATTTGTTCCTAGTTGGGTGTTGGTCTGGTGAAAGCAAAGCATGGAAAATCAACAACGCATCTGAGCAATGCTATTTCAGGAGAATTGGAAACGCAACAGAATTTTGATTAATTCAGTGTTTGTTAGAATGTGTCTTCGCTTTCAGGATTTCAGGCTAGGAACGTTAACAAGCAGTTGTAGGAAATACATGCTAAGATATCGGGTGAAGGGGGATTGTAAGAAAAAAATGGAAACGTGAGCGGGGGGGGGGGCTAGGGACAAAACGATTGAGGCGTTTGCGGAGGTCTCAGGAGTTACGGGAGCCCATACCTAGCTCATTACGCACGTGCTATTGATGCACAGCTCGCCATATCTCCCTGTTTAAACTGGCCTACAAAAGGCATGCGAGCGACATCGTGTTCACCAGTGAATTTGGTGCATTTTGTAGGGCTCAGCCGCGAAGCGGGATGGAGTGATGTGGATACGATAAAGATGATAAAGGCGGTTCGAACTAGGACTTTCGGTGCTGTGCTCGCGCGGGATGTGGGTGATCGCGTCTTAGATGATCGTTGGGTGGAAATGTCCCAAGACATGTGAACCAATTGCTCTTTGGCACATCACACCATGCACATCGGTCATCATGTGCCGTGTCTGCTTGGATGGCTTCATTTTGTTCGCGACGGGCTTGGTCTTGTGCTGCAATGCGCGAGGCCTCGGCATGCGTGGCCGGGGAGGACTCGTATAGCCGCTCGGTAACCAGAACGCTCGCGAGGTGGGCAGCAACAGGCGGCAGGGGCGGGGGTGTGGGGAAGAGGGACGGGACGAAAAGCAGCGATGATCGAAGTGCTTGTGGCGAGAAGGGGGCGGGGGGGAGGGGCGGGCGGATGGACGGAGAAACCGCTTGGCCGGCTCAAAATGGGGCCTAATCCTGAGTGGGGTGGTGGGGCAATTCCGGCCAAAGAAACTCGGCCACCTCCGGATATGTTATCCTCACAAGGATCTAGACGCTTCAGGCCTCCGACTTGGGGCGGATTTTTCTGCGTCTGCGGGCGATGCATCTTGATGTGAAGCTCGCGGCGGCATCTGTTGGGATTGTGTGATTCTGGATGATTCTGGATGTCTTCTGTGTTTCCCAGTGTAACTTGCGTTTCAATCATCGTGATGCTGGTTGTTCATCCGATAGTGAAAGACATCCTGCATGCGGAGCCGGAAACAACGTCATGTCAACCAGGTTGGAACAAGAGACATTGGCCAGGCCAAGCTGCTCAGAGCGGGTTAGCAGCACCAAGCTCTTGCGGTTTGCTTCAGGCGAAGCTCCGAGAGAGGCTCCGAAAGGCGAGCTTGATGCGAGTTGCCTAACTTGTCGCTTCGCAGGTCTGATACATTCTGATACCGTTTGTTTTTGGAGGAAAGCTCCAGCCGAACACCGGGCTTTGCACTCAGATGGGCGTGTCACAAGCATGGTGCATGGAAAAGGGTGCCGAAAATTTCCTTGGTTGCGTCTGCTGCGTCCATGCCATTTCACACAAAAACACATTGACCAATGCTCACAGGACCAAAAAGACCCCTTGCTTGGGGGAGCTGGAGAGGCATTGTTTCTTGGCATTGTGTGAAGTAGGCCTTTCAATCTTGACATGTCTTGCTTCAGGCATTCGACCGCACTTTGCAAAAGCGCCCTCAGAGCAGAGTCCTGAGGGTCCTGAGGCATTCAGCTTTTGGGCAGGTTCGCCAATTTTCTGCGCGACTTCAGGTTGGAGAATGGGCAGACCCGAGAAGCTCGAAAGTCCTGCACGCCCCGTGGAGATCTCAGATGTTCTGGACTTGCAAGCAACACATCAGTGGACAACTCCTTAGCAGGGAGTAAGAGTTGATTGTAAACTCGCTTTGAAAGTGAGTATTGGGGGGGCAGATGGGCCGGTTGTGTTGCCTGCTGTATATGGAGCTACGTGGGGTGGCCTGAGAAGCTACATGAAGCGACTGTGTCCAGGACGCATCACACACGTTTGCCCAGAGATGTCTGGGCTCAACGGCGTGTTGAATGTTCCAGTATGTTTTGTGCTGACGCGGTTTAACAGGGCTGATGTAGCTGCATAAGAGGCACAGGCGCGATGAAATCTGTTAGTTTAGAGAGGACTTGCGTAAACGGGCGTTGTTGTTTGGCATTTCTTCAAGCAAGTTCCAAGCTTCGAAGTTGACAGCGCAGTAATGGGAATGCTTCGAGCAAATGCGTGCAGCGAATTCTTGATTTTGGCATGCTTGTGGCTTCACTGGTTGATGTTGAAATGCCCAGCCTGTTTCGGAATCGCTGAAGACAGTGCGAAGTTGTAAACAAACTTGTTGCTGAGAAGTTGGTGTGCACATGTTTTTCAGGAGAACTTCAATAACTTGTAGAATGCTTGCTGTTGAAAATGACAATTGCAGCTCCTTTCTCCTTGCGTACATTAGAAATCTCGGCAGTCGCCTTCGATTGTTACGATTGTTTGTTGCCTATCCAGCGGCCATCTTGGCGAAAGGTTCGCATGTTCGCCAACCAGATACACCGATATGAGGACGGCCATTTGGCAATTGGAGCTGATGAAATACTGCGGACCCCCCCCCCCCCTCCCCGCGTCTTGGAACGGGTGGATCAGCTTGCCACACACAGGTTCAGGAAGCTTTGTTGAGTGCTCTGGTGCAGATAATTCGCAGCGTCTAAATTGCTCGCCTTGTCAGGAATCCAGCTGTTGTGACAGCTGGCTAGCTGAAGTCTTCCCGCTCCTCTCGTTTCCGCCCAGGCGATGCAGGCATGAATGCGACGTTCTCCCTCAGCATGGCAAGCGCTTCCGCTTGTTATAGCTGCGGTTCATTCACCGGTCACGGACATGCGGATGGCATCGTTACTCGTCACTCACTGTCTGGACGACGCCGAACATGTTGTATGCCATCGATCCTTTCGGATGACGACTTGTGCCTGCTCTACCCCGAGTTCAGGTCTGGCGCGTGGACGCGACTGCGCGGCTTTTGGCCAGAGGTAACACTTCTGCCGACCGAACACTCAGTCCAATCCAAAGGGCGAGGCCCTACTAAGGGCGGCGTCCCAGATCACCGAATGGTATCAGATCTTCCGAAAGGTCTACGTCGCGCGAAAGGGTCGTGGGCAGGGGGATCGATTTCGTGCCTCGAACTGGGCACAGTGCGCAACGGTGTCGTCTGAGCCAACAGGAGGTGACAGGAACCAGAAGATACGTTGAGGCGAAGGCAGGATGAGGAGTGGCCATAACACCGCCCGCTTCACTGCCCCATATCACAAGCCCGGCTACTTCATCTTTGTCTGGGTAATGTTGTCCGGCTCCATGGCAAGTGTGGTCATGCAGTCGCTGATTCAACTACGCGATTCCGCCGACCTCTTTGCCTTTCCTGGTCTGCGACGCTGAAGATGCTGAAGCATACTTCAACTGTCGACTTTCCAATTTCAGACACGAGACAAACTCCCGCATGAACGGGTGGGCTGCAGTCTGTTTTCCACCGAGGTGATGTCAACAGTGCGGCCTTCTTCCAAAACAAATTGCCGAGTGCATCGTCGAACCTTTGTCTACTCGCCAGAGGCATGGATTGCCCGGTACTATTTCAACCTTGCGACAGCAAGGCGTCGAGACACGCCCTCTTGAAGAGAATACACCAACCCCTGTGTTGCCTGGTCGTTTTAGATTGGACCTCGTCGGTGACAGAACGGGCCTGCCTCGCCGCAGGAAGAGGTTGGGAGCGCGCCTCACGGACCAACCGCTTTACGTTCCCGACTTCGAAGAGCTCAATGCGTTGCAGAAGTTCAGTGCGGCCTTCAGCACCTTGGGAGCCGCTGCGGTGCAGCAGGAGGCGGGGGTCCTGCGCTGTTGCATCGCCTCCGTGAGATAGATGCTTCCTGCACGACGCACAAGAGCACTGGAAAAGGCCCGACGAACTCCCGCGACCAAGAAACGCGGGACACAGCGCAGGGTGGGGACCGGCACACGACACGGAACTCGACACAGAGGTCAACCTCGTCCAGGCAGCAGAGGACGCAGCGCGAGGTGGGGGCCCCGATGCTGGCATGGCCCCTTCCGCGTCATCCGCGTGTCCACCAGGCGAGCCCGCGGAGGAGCTCGGAAGAGTTGGGCTCCGCAGCCGAAATTGGGACGCCGTAAAAACCGCCGCGCGCGGCAGGGCTGAAAAGGGCCAGGGTTCTCGCACCAAGTTTAGGGTTCGGCGATTTAGTTTTCGGTTCTGCCATGTTTCTCATGGTGAGCCCCAATCAAACAACCTAAATGCGACCCCCAAAAAATGCTCTCGGGCAACGACGGCCGGTCGCATACGCCAATCGCAACATCGTAGACAAGTCGGCGGTATGGGAAATGTCCACAGGTGAGACATGTGTTCATTCACATGGTTGTGTGGGAAGCAGCGCCCATCCGAAACTGCTGTCGTTTTTTCTACGTCTGAGTTCACCAAATGCGAGACTGTCGTTGCTTTGGAGTCCTGTTACACTGTCGTCGCTTTTGGAAGTTTGGGTTTGCCAGAAATTGTCGTCGCTTTGGGACGTCTGGGTTCCCAAAACGTGAAGTTGTGGTTGTTTTTGGCGTCCCTGCTCGCGGAATGCGAATTATTTGTCGCGTTTGGACACCATGGTCTCTCTGTGTTTGGTTAGGGTCTTTCATAGGCCCACTGGCCAGATCGCAACCCTCTGAGTGCCGGCAGCTTGGATCGCCGTTTGATCGAAGCTCCAACAAACCTGAAAGGTGCTGCAACATCTGCAAAGCAGTGGCCACAAAAACCCAACGAAAAGTTTCAGCAGTGGCGCGGAGCAGGCGGTATCAGGACACTGATAGTTTGGGTGCCATGGGTGCCAACGTGGGCATCGAAACGTGCTTCACCAAGACCTTGCCGACAAGTCGGCAACGCAGGTCGCTGTCAACACGGGCACGAACACGTCAGTTTAGCATAGCTTAGCTTGCAGTGGCAGGGTGCAGGGCAGCGCCCAACCTGCATGCCCTCCACCATAAAAAGTGGCCCATATTTGCGTTGGCAAGCGTCGGACCAGACTCCAATCGAAACGGTTGCGTCCTCACTGCGCCCTCCCATCCCAGCGGCCGCCGGAAACAGTATGAAACAGTCTCCATGCACAAGTGATCCATGGACCGCAGAACCATTTAGGGCAAGAAAGTAGGAAGCCCATCGAGGAGGTGAAACGAATGTCGCCCAAAATCTCAAACGCACACTGCTGCACGAAAGGCTGGTCGATATCGACGCGTCGTCAAAGTTCAGATGCTGCAAGAGACATGGTGGGCCGACGAGGCAAGCCTAAGACGGAAGTCGTGCAAGGCAATGCGTCGTCCTTGCGCAGACGTATGGCCCGAAGCACGCCTGTGCCCGCGTGCGCCAAGGGCAGCTGTCACGCGCTCGACACGTGCTCGCGGCTGGGGTGCTGATGGGTGCTGGCGCGAGGCGACGACACTAACGCTTTCGGCCCTGCACGACCCCGCCAGCCCCCCGCCAGCAGCGGCCCACATGATCGTGTTCATGTTTCAAGTGGCCCGTTGTGCGCGTCACTGTGCTGTTCCCACATGGTCGTGTTCATCTTTCAAGTGGCACGTTGTGCGTGTCACTTGCGCATACTTGCGCTGTTCCCACATGGTCGTGTTCATCTTTCAAGTGGCCCGTTGTGCGTGTCACTGTGCTGTTCCCACGTAATCGTGTCCATGTTTTAAACGGCCCGTTGTGCGTGTCACGGTGCTGTTCCCACATGGTCGTGTTCGTCTTTCAAATGGCCCGTTGTGCGTGTCACTGTGCTGTTCCCACATGCTCATGTTCATTTTTTCAAACAGCCCGTTGTGCGTGTGCACCTTCACGAACAACGACGCGCCTGAGCCGCCGCCTCCGCCGGGAATAAGTGTTCTTTGTTGCCGTCACGTCGCGGCCGTCGGCGGGGCGAATGGTGTAGACTTCGTGCGGCTGCCGTACCGCGATATGCGATGGGCGCCTGTCCCCCTCATGCCGGCAGACCCGGCGAGGCGCCCGCCGCACCCGCCGCGTGCCACAGCCCCCGAGGTTCTGCATGGGGAGGCCTTGCGCACTTCCAAGCGCGGCTCGGCCGCAGGCCTCTCGGGCGCAACCGTGGAGCTCTACAAGCTCCTCCTGGACGATGCGGCGGCGCTCGAAGCCTTTACTTACGCAGTGAACGTCGCCGCCCGCGCGCAAGCCCCGCAAGTAGCGCTGGACGCCATGGCCCTTTTTCGCGGCTGACTGCCCTCCGGAAACCCAACAGAGGTGTCCGCGGCATCGCCACAGGGGACGTGTTTCGGCGCCTCGTCTCCCGCGCACTCGCACGCGCGTTCAGTGGGGAGCTTGATGCAGCCACCCGGCCGTTTCAGTTCGCGCTGCAGACTCGTGCCGGTACCGACAGCTTGGCGGCGATGCTTCGTGCGGGCTGTTGAACTCGACCCGCAGGCCACGGTCGTTTCTGTGGATGGGCGCAGCGCTTACGACACCATCAGCCGCGCGACCATACTTGCCAAACTGCGCGACACGGTCCCGGCGCTCGTGCCGCCCGTGCCATGTACGCGCGTACTTTCACGTACCTGTGGTGGGACGACGAGGGGCGTGTGCACGAGATCGCGCAAGCTGAAGGCGTCGAGCAGGGCGACCCCTTGGCGCCAGGGTTTTACGCCCTTGGCCAGCACGACTCGCTGGTGGCGGCGAGTGCTTCCCTGCAGCCCACGGAGCGCCTCGCCGCTTTCCTGGACGACCTCTACGTCGTCACTGGGCCGGACTGCGCAGCGCCGCTCCTGCGTGTTGTTACCGGCGAGGTCGAGCGAGGCGCGGGCGCTGACCTCCTTGTTGCCCAGGACGACATCCCCCCTGCAGATATACTGCCGTACGCTCGCGCTCACGACGATGCGGTCTGGGCCGTCGTTCAAGGTCTGCTGGGCGACCAAGGGCCCAGCGAAGGGGACGCCTGGGCGGCTGCTCGCAGCGTTGCTTTTTTGCCGCCGAGCCTGGGAGGTCTTAGCCTCTTGGCAGCTGAGCGGGTAGCGCCGGCAGCATACTGGGCGGCGTGGGCAGATGCGCTCGCGGTGTTGCGCCAACGTTACCCCGACGCAGCGGACAGGCTCGTGCGCGAGCTCGAGGGCGCACCGTCGGCACCTTGCCTGCACGCAGCTGTGGAGGCGGCGCGCCAGCTTACTGCGGAGGGCTGGGAGAGCAGACCAAACTGGGAATCTTGCGCCCGAGGCGCTGACGTCCCAGCGGCTGAGGGTGAACTCGGCTCGGAAGCCCTGGTTGGCAGCGACATGCCGTTCTCGCACTTCACGCTCGCTTCCGAGAACGCACGTTGCTTCCGGCCTTGGCTCCTGCCGCTCGAACCCTCCTCCACTCTCAATCCGGTCCGCATGCCTGTATGTAGCTAGCCGCGATACCTTTGGATGCGGCGTCCACCCTCGCACCGGACCTCATGCACGTCGCATACGTCGCAATGCGGCGCCGCCTTCGCTTGCCCCTGCCCCTCACGGACCTGCGCTGTGGAGCGGCAGGCCGATATGGTTGTGGGGGCGAGGTCGATGCGTATGGAGACCACCACCTCGCCTGCCCCCGCACGGGTATGTTGCCTCGACGCGGATTCGTCGTGGAGAGGGCGTGGATCCAGGTCGCTCGCGAGGCAGTCGGTCCTGAGGGTCGGGTCGTGCCGCAGCAGTGGCGGTCGCGCACCACAGCGGCGCACGTCCGTGCCAACGACCGTCGCCGCCTCGACTTCGTTGTGTATACGGGGCAACGAGCAATGGCGAGGCCTTGAGCTGCGATGCAACGCTCGTCTCCCCTCTCACTCGGACTGGTCGGCCCGTCCCCGGGGCCGACGCTCGGGCGGGGGTCGCGCTTGTTACGGCACGCAGGCGCAAGGTCGCACGGTACCCGGAGCTGACGCGAGGGGGGCCTCAGCGGCTGGTTGTCCTCGCTGCTGAAGTAGGGGGCCGATGGAACGACGAGTGCCAACAGTTCCTCCGCACCCTGCTCCCGCTGGTGGAGTGTGTTGTCGGTTGCCCTGCAGCGAGCAGTCGCCAGCTCCGCGCTTGGCGTCTGGACAATGCCGCCGCTGCCTGGCGCGCCAGATACGCTCCCGTTGAGCGACGTGCTCGACCTGGCGAGTGCGAGCGCCTCCGGTCGGCTGCCGCCTCGCTAGCACTCCGTAGGAGTCTAGGTAGCTGACGTCGTTAGGACTCGGGACGCTTTCGGCGGACGCAAAAAAAAATGTACCGTAACAAATCGTTGTTACTGCGGGGCGCGGCGCACATAAGTAGCAGGAGCCAAGCAGATTGGAGGTCCGGCAGGCCTGGGAACAGCCGTTCACGCAGGGCCTCCCTTTTGCACTGGTCGCTTCCCAGCGGTGTCCCAAGCACCATTTCCTTGTGCCTTTGGTGGGCACCCCATGGGCGCGGTCGGCAACAGTTCGTGTAAACCGGGCTGCTCAATCCCCGCCACGTTCCACGCGCGTTTCACCGAAATGCACGTCGGCCGCTTGCAGCGTGCAGAGACCCAGAAGACCGCGCACACGTACGTGTCGTCCAGAAAGGCACTCGACGGGTCGCAGGTCGTCGTGGGCTGCCGCCAGCGCCGCGACCGCAAACAGGCCCGGCATCAGTGGGTCACCCACAGAACCGGCCGAGAGAGGGAATCAAGGCGGCCAGTCGGGCATCCCAGCGGGCCTTCGAACATCGCCGCCCGGGCGACGATTTTGTTGCCAATTCGTGTTGTGCTTGAACCAAGAAAAGTGTTCGAATTGCGTGACCAGCTCATCGCGCGCTTAACCCACCGATTCACCGGCAAACTTTTTTGTTTACTGTCGCCGTGTTTCGCCCCCGAACCACCCCAGCCCCCGACCTGCACTGGTGATCACTGATAAACCGTGTGTTTGAGACCAGTGCCGCATGAGTAGCCGAGAATGTTCCGTTTCGGTGCCATTTTCAAGGAACCACACCTTCTCATTGCGGAGGACCTCAAGCACGACGATATAGGCCACGGCAGCCATGTATGTACCACATGTGGCACGAGTTGTAAAGTGCCCGGGAAAAACCAATGCCGCTCTGAATGCGCGTTTGGTTGTTGAAATCCGAGATGACACGGGATCGGTGAACGGAAGTATTGCTTCGGAATTGGGGTACTTAAATAGGGATGTGCGGCTGTGCGTGCAAGACCGGGGAATTAGTCTTGATGCTTTCATATGCATCATTAGTGCTTTAATTGGACTAGGTGGAAGTAGCAGCCCTTCCTGTGCAAAAAGGCCGTGGATTCGGTGAACCCTGGCGTATCAAGGCGCCCCCATTCCATCATAAACAAAGCGATAAAGAGCCTTGAACACCTGGCGCACGGCATTCGGTGCTGTTGAGGCAAAAGAGCTCCAGGCGGCGGCCGGTGATTCATTGCATTTTTTGCCACACGCATGGTTGGCAAGGCAATTGCTGCTGCGCATCGTTCCAACGCGAAACGCAGAGAGGCCCAAGCAGTGATGCTTGAATGGTTGAGTGTTCTTTTGTGCATGTTTTTTTGCCGATGTTGGCTCGAGTTGTCCGCAGGCTGAAAGCTTGGGACGTCAGCCAGAAGGATATCCTGCTGAGGAAGGGGAGGTGATGATGTGGGTTAGCCCATTCGCTGGTCAGGCTGAGTGTCGACGCCTTGATTCTTTAGCACAGGTTCCAAAACATCCTTCAGGGGATCATTTCCGTGAGCTCCATCGTCGCGAGGAGCCTTCTTGCTGCATGCTGTGGGCTAGTGGTATTGCTCGCCTGGCTTTGTTTGTCACCAGGAACTGCGTTTCGAGGCTCTGGGTTTTGCTGCGTGCGCAAGAGGATGCAATCTATGCAACGATTTGAGGTCGTTTGCTTGGTCGATGGTTGTTTCGTGAGATGAGTGCCGATCATATCATATCGATTAGTCCGGTATAGCGGCTTTGCGAGATTCGAGATGAAAGCAACCAGGAGCCATTAGCAATGCTGTGTATTGCGCTACGTGCCGAACGTGCATGTTACATGGGCACTTACCTGATATCCGCATTTTGCTTTGCAGACGTCAATATCATTTAGCACCGGTGGCTTGTAGTAGCGTAAAGGTGTGCAACCCCCCCCTCCGCTTTTTGTCCGTTCTTGCGAGTGTTATGTATCGGCTGATTCGGCTGTAAACCGCCTATGTTTGACCGGGGTTTCCCGTTCTAGGCTCACAGCCTTGCAATCTCTTCTGGCCGATCGTTTGCACGCAGCCTCGGAAGAAGATACTGCTTCTCGTGCACAGCAACCTGTAATTCGGGCCGTTTCAAGCAGCCGTCACTGTTCCGTTTCAGGCACACGTTGTGCCAGAAGCATCCTGTGCATCCGAGAGGTTTCCTCTTTCCATTCCCCTGTGTCCTCGAGCAATGCCTGCTACCGTCCAAAAAACCTTCTGGGTTTTGCCCAATCCCTGGCGGCGCCGTTTGCTGGCATGACGAATCGGGTAATGTTTTCGAGATCGCTGCCCGTCTCTGCAAGGCCACCATCTCCGAGGACAAACGGAGAACACGTGCCGGTGCGCGACAGGATGGGGGTCGGGGGGCACCCGACCTTCAATCCCAACAGAAAAAAGCATTGCAAAAGGAATCTCGGGTTCCTCAAAGCTGAATCATGCTGAATCTGTTTTGCTGAATGAAATTGGCCAGTTGAATAAATAATGGCGAGGACTCTCTGCAAACTCACGTGCAATGCCTCCCGATGGTGTTGTGAAACGTTGATGCATGGATCCGTAATGATCCGTATTCGTGCGCTTCAAGACATGACAAGGTATGTGTAGATTACACTCCGGTTTCACGTGGCTGACAGAGCTTCCTCTGCTCAAAGGGCTCAAACGGCTGAAACAGGTGTCAGGCAATAATTCGGTTTTGTCGCATTTGTCGTGTGAAGAATCGCGATCGTATGTCCCAGCGTATCTCAGCATTTGGCCTTATGATTATTTGCACATAGTCGCGCCTTTGTCCCACAGGAAATGAAGCAGGAAGAGCTCCGAAGGTTGGAGCGCGAGCGCGAAGAGAACAGAAAACGCAGACAGGCATTGTCATCGTTGTCGGTCTTTAATATTCCCGTTTTCAGAACTTTTCAGTGGAGTCTCGAGGAGCAGGAGGAATGGGAGCAAGCCATGCGTCGCAAATTTGCCGAAGAGGCATGCGAGCATCTGCTACACATTCTTGATTATCTTGCTACACATGTACGTGCGAGGGTTCAACTGGCGACATGACACGGGAGGCCGAGCAACTGAAAGCAGCTCGGCGAGTGCAGAAGGAGGTCGAGGAATCGACGTTGCGTGCAATTTGCAACTGGTGTAAAGATATGTAAAGATAGATTGCTGTCTGTTGATGTCTTGTTTCTGGATGCTGACAGGTGCAGCTCTGCCTAGGCACATAGTAGCGCAGAGCTTCGGATCAGCAGAATTGACCATGTCGAGGCATGAACAGGGTCAGGGGCACCTCACAAGGAATCAGATCATGTATCAGACAATCTCGTTACTGCCTTCTGCAGCGGTTGCGGTTGCTGCAGGGCATTTTTCAAAGCAATTGTTATTTCCTTTCGGGAGCTTTAGCGTTTTTCAGGGAGCTTGAACGTTTTAAAGTTGCCCGGCCATTTTCGCTGCCACGATCCACGATCTGCTTTACTGTACGATCCGTTTCGTTTCATGATCAAATTCCCCGTACTGTTCAGAAAAAAACGCCACGAATACCACCCATTGACTTGTTGCCAGCTGCTATCTCTATGCATTGTGGTTATTCTTCAGCATGTTTTGTTTTGCATGTTACATCTTCCGTAGTATTCTCGGGAGTGTCCATGAAGGACCACAAACGCACGGCGCTCCAATTGCCGCACTTTAGTCTTGCCCTGGTTGTCTTGCACCCTACTTAGGGCCAAGGGATGCCAAGGGCGTACGTGGCACTGGTACTGCGTGTGCACATGCATTGCGCTGTCACATTTGTTCCTGTCTCGTTGTTGCGATCTTGCGTCTATTCATTTCCTATGTAGGTTGGTGGCGCTGATGATCCCTGTCGTCGTTCTTTCGCTGTTGCTGTTGCTTGCCGCTGCTGTTTTTGTTTCCGTCAACGCTGTCAGCCCTTTTTTTGGAAGGGGAACGACAGGGCACCCATCCCAGGAGCAGGAGGAAAAGAAATTCAAGGAGGGTGCTCAGAGGCGCCAGGCGCATCGAAGCATGGCGATCATGCAGAGAACTGGCGAATCCTTGTGCAACTCCCAAAAAAACACATGTTCCAAGTGAGCTGTCCTTGCATTGAGTAGACCAGAGTACCAAGTTTCAGGAGAGGGTCGAGAAAACAAAGACGCAGAAAAAGTGTTGACATCATCTTCTGCACCCAGGCGATGAAGCAAGAGGAGGCGCGTGAACGCGAGGAGGCCAAAAAAAGAAGACAGGCGCAAGATTCTTGAATCTGCCATCAAGATGCGCTGCCGATGAGAAGATACTGATTCATGCCAGTGTGGAGGAGCAAGATGAATGGGAGCAAGCCATGCGGCGCAAGATCGCAGTGGAGGCTGTAGCTGCAAGCAGACGAAGGCTGCAAAGATGAGAAGATGCCCTGATGGGAGGCTGAGCAGTTGAACGCTGCTCAAAGATCGAAGCAACGCACGCAGGAGTTTGATGATGTGCGGTTCCAAAACCTGATCCTCCAGCTTGTTCTGAACCCAGGACCAGCATAATCAGGATGTCCGGAGAAGCCAGGTGCGTGTGGAAATACCGTCTCCTGTAGCACGCAACTTCAGGCAGCAGAAAAGCTGCAAAACTTGCTGGATGTGCGCTTTCACGGGTGCGCGCGATGGCGCTTGGCTGCAGGGTGAAAAAGAAAAGAAGCAAAGTGAGGTACCAATGTTGGGCTCAGCGACGTGGCTTGCAAGTGTTGAAGTATAGTACATGGCAGGCTTCACAACATCAGCGCTTCGGTTCGGAAGCGAAGGCAGCGAAGCCATCTGCGCCCAGCACCACGCTCCATGTTTCATGACCCAAATGCGTGTGGTCGGCCAGTGCTTCGCAGGCAAGGGTCGGCACGTGCGTCGCTTAATGAGCAAGAGGTGTCCGCATCAGCAATCAAATCAATCAGATGGTGTTCGCTACAGAGGGGGCTGGGCGGTGCACCAAGCAAGGAAGAGTGATTTCAAGAATCCTCAGGCCCGGAGGCGGTCTATTGTGATATTGTACGTGCGAAGGTAGCGACTCGGCACGGTGGACACAAATTTTAAACGCCGAGATCACAGCAAGCACTATGCCTCGCGAGTGTGCGACAGCACACGGCACGCGGGCATCAACTTCTGAATCCTGCGAAGAATCTGAGGCTGATGGCCAGGAAGGTATGGCAGGACCGGAAATAAGAAAGATTCGCTCTACTGGAAAGCGCATGACAAAGTTTACATGACATCCGCCACATTCAGTCAGGGTCTACCTGTACTCCCGTCATCTCCCATCCAAAAGGATAGGTCTAAAGCTAGCCCATTCAGGGACTAGAGTATTTCAAATTAAAGCATAAAGTAAAACGGTTTCATTGAAACCTGTAGTCGGCCGAGTTACGTGAAACAAGCTCCGTGTTGTCGGGAACGTGGAAGGCTACGTCGATTTCGCCAGCACATCTATACTTACATAATCAGACCAAGACATACCAAGACCTTAACTTTGAGACAGGAGAGACAGGGTTTTGGAAGAAGACAAACCAAGTCAAAGAAGTGAAAGAAAAGAAGGTAAATCTTATATGATTAAACGGGCCATTTATTACTCTATTATTATCTAGTATCATAATACTACTTATGGCCCTTTTACCGTATCTTTTCTATCACTCGTTAAGAATTGGTTCAGAAAGGCTTCGGAATTTCTTATTATTCATCTCACTCCATCTTTGGAATCTCCGGAACATTACTATAAGTCCTTATCAGAATAGAGTTATCGCCAGAAAACCAGAACTTCTATAATATAAGCATTGCATTGCATGGCTTTCTTATGAGCTTCTCTTTAGTAATGCCTGGCTTGTTTGGAGGATTTGGAAATTATTTTGTACCCAGGGCTTTCATCTGATCTAATTATGTACGGCGTCGATACAAGCTGGGACTTCATTCGCCCCATGGGCCGACAGCTTGCAGATGCGGCAGATGCGATAAGGGAGCGGAAACGCATATTCAACTCGGCCACTGAGTTGGAGACGTCACCGGGAGATTCAATGACGACGGAGTAAGAAAGTAAGAAACATAAGAAACCTCCCGTATTTACCCGTGGAAGAAGCGCAAGGGGAACCCGAAATTGCCTGAGCAGCCGAGGCCACGATCTGCAGATCCATCACCTCCACGCCATCCCCGCCCATCGCAATCACCACAAGGATGCGCATGGCAAAGTTGTGACAGCCCATGATGAATTTTCAATGGCAGGTCACCGCAGTGGCAGGTTAAAATCTGTGAGCACAAGCACGAGAAATTTGCAGGTGGCCCTGCAAATTTTGCTTGCCGTCCCTTGTGCTTAGCAAAGTGCGGAGAACAATGCGTGACGGCTTGACAGGCGTCGGGCCTGGCTGCATCCTCAGGATGCAGTGACTGTGGCGAATTCCTTAACATTCCTGAGGCTCTGTTGCATGGCTTAAAAGACCTAGTGAGGCGGAGCTGCAGGCGGCAAAGTCGGCAGCCATGCGGCAGCTGCTGGGCGCTTTGCACATCTTTTCGCCGTGTTTGTTGAATCTTCTTTGGGGATCGGCAACAGATGTTCGGTGGTACACCCAGAAGTATGTTGCGGAGGGAGACGGGGAGCAACAAAACAAAACCTGTTTGGGCTGCGGCTTTCTTTGTGGCTTGCCAGTCTTGGGCTTCTTAGTTCACCGAGTGCATTCTGTTGCATAGGTCCCGTCCGATAGGACCATCGCAAATCTTTGCATTCGTGGGAGGAGGATCCAAGAGGGCCAAAGGGGTCACAAGCGATAACAGCTCCGCCCTTCACGAGTGAGATTACGTCGGACGACGCCAAAACTTTGGGGTTTTAGTATGACAACCACGACCCCCGAAACGCCGAGCCCAGGCAACACGAGAGCCACACAACCGGTCACGTGCTGTTTGAAGACCGTAGACGAAGACCGTATGACCGAATACCAAACGAATCAAACCCACAGTCTCCACTTCTGAGGCCTGCATCTGGCAAGGGCATGTCGCGAAACAGAGGGTAAAGTAAAAGTCCTTACGGCGATCCTGATCATTGAAAGGTGGATCAAGTTTCGCGAGCACTGCGCCCAACCTCGTCGATCCCCGAAAGGAACCACAGCAGGGATTGTCGTCGAAGCATGTCGCAACCATCCGGTCCGAGAACGTTTCCTGAGCTCGGCTAAATCCTCTTTCAAGGGAGCCTGGCCATTGTCGGGGCCCTGGTCTTCCAAGATCTTTACAGTAATGTCCCAGGAGATGGAATGGGCAGCCGCTGGGCCATTGAAGGGTTTCCTGAAACCTCCAGGGAGGGATAGGGAGGGCAGGGGGCCTTGCAAAGGGTGTGGCATGGTGTGGCCAGCATAAGTGAGGAACGTCAAAGGGGCCAGGTGCCATCAGGTGATTTTTGCAAAAACCCGAAAGAATCCAAGCACCGAGCAAGTTAGGAGCTTGCAAGTTCAGCGTCAAGCGTGCCGAGGATCATTTTGAGACAGCACCCCTCCAAAGAAGCTCGGCAGAAGGGCTTCAAGGTGAGCGGACAAAGCAAACCACGTTGCTCCAGAACACGTTCGGTCGGCAATAGCAGCAGGATCTACTACGAATGTGGCACCCAGACAAGAACCCCGGAAGTCCAGAGGTCGCCGGGAGCCTGTTGACAATTCCATGAGATGCCATTAGTCGTGTTTTTTTGCATCGCATGAGGCCACCGCAGTCTTTCAGATGATCCAGGCAGAGCGAGGTACCGCCATGTGCCGACTTGTTTTGTTGGCCCCTACTTGTTGGCTTCGAGCTGGGATCGCATGGCAGGTCGCGTCTTCAAGTAGCTTCAGGCGATTTTAGGCAACCTCAGCTCCTTTCAAGAGTCTGAGTGCAATTGTTAACGTGAGTTGGTGAGGGTGAATCATGGGTCTTTGTTTCTCAGTTTGAATGCTGGCGGATGGCAATGCCAAAGCTCGCTGCTGCCAAGATAGTCACGCATTCTGCATCTTCGCAGTTTGGGTCATTGACAGGTGCTCGCACGTGTCAGCACGTGTCATAGCCATGTGGGTGACTGCGTGATCGACATACGTCGCTGCATCATGCGGCCAAAGAGTTGACTTCAACATGTAACAGCAAAAGTTCTCTTAGTCCTTGTGATCCTGACCAGGCCCAAGACAGGAAACTTTTTGCAATCCCCATGTGAACTGACGTGTTTGCAGCACTACTTACAGCCAAGACGACAAGTGCGAAAGAAGCTGTGTACTGAAAGCCGAAAACTTAGCGCCAAAGGCGTTCGCCGGTTGGAATTCGCGCTGAAAATCCACTTGGCGTGCAGGAAAAACCCTCAGCACGACACGCGTTCTTCGGCGAAAGTGCTCGGCCTGCTTGGTTGTGGCAGATTGACTTCCTTTTGCTTTCTTGAGCTTCATACACTGTCACTGCAGTTGGCCCATCTGGTTGGAGTCCAGGATACTTGCGTGACACTTTGCGCACCTAGCTTGGGCACATGGTCGCCTCAACGATTCTCCCGGCCTTCCGAGTACCTTGCCAGATATCGGTCCTCACATCAAACCAGACTGATATGCGCACAGTTTTCAGATGTTTTTGTGTAGGTTGGCGCCGGACACTGAGGTTTTTGTGTTCGGGCACTGCTGGCACTTTGCACTTGCTGGCCTTCAACCACTGCATGGTGGTCACGACAGGGCATGTCGCGGCATTTCTCACAGCGGAGCTTGGGAAGTTGGTGCTGCCAACGCGGTAGAGGGCTGGACTGCTAACAGCTTGGAACAATGCAAAGACATTTGTACGGGCACGTGTCAGGCTATACAGTACGTTGCCTCGAGAAGTATCTGCAGAATTTGGAACATACCAGTCCTTCACTCTGTGAGCCAGCCGGGGTCACAATGCTGGGTGAATCCAGCTGGCACAAGTTCTGCCCTCACCACCTTGAAGCCGAAGCTCTCTCACTGCCTATCTGTTGCAAAAGCCGGCTGCGGTGCGATTACCAACAGGTACAATTGCTTGAGCAGCAAAGAGGAGGTCGGCTCGGATCCTTGTGTATGGTGTGGAGGTGGCGACTGCCACGGCGATTCACATTCAGGGTGCACTTCTTTTTCTATGCTGGGAAAGACAACAGCGAACACAGTGGCAGCAAATGCTTTCGAGCGCATTGGCGCCCTCGAGGTGGCCCACTGTGTAGCGGCATCACCAGCAGCCGACCAGACTCCAGTCGCGCAAGGAATGGCCCCGAATCTTCCACACGCGAGCGCGAGCACCAGCACCAGTGGCACTGCCGGTGACACAAGTGCAGTGCTTGGGAGTGCCGCTCCTCCGACGGCCTTGCAGCTGGACAGAAAGTGAGCTACGTAGCATGTCACGATAATAATGTCTGTGCTGCTCACTGCTCACGCTAGTAATGGCTGTTCTGAAGCCAGCAAAATTCATGGGTAACAATGCCGCCAAGGAACACTAGCATTGGTGCAGATTGTTTGGCGCCTGCCCCATCGTGCGGCGCGATCAAGGACAAGCTCATTTGCTTGAGCAGCAAGGACCTCACGGCAGTAGCAGTGCAGTTGCGCAGCCAAGACAGCCACGGGGTTGATGCCGTACGCACTGCATACGCAGGATGGACGGCTAGGCCTACAAGAGCATGGCCTGCGCATTGGTGGAGAAGCAGCTCGGCATCTGAGGGCGTTGCGATGCGTTGCGCCAGATTTTGCCTTCTGTATGGCGAGTGTGCGGCGGGCCTCCTCCCTCTACTTGACGACCTGTGAAGGCTTGCGTGTGGTGTGGCGGCGAGCCTTGCACGAGTGGCTTGGCGGCCTTGACGTTCGAGATTCAGATACCTCATCGTTCTGCCTCAATCCCGAGCAGCAAACGGACGTAACTATGCTCATTTGCGCGCTGAGGTATCAATGACAACCTCTGTAGCTGGCTTAGCAGACTCTTGCAGCCACGTGTGCCATCACAGACATGTGGCCTGGATTCATGCTTCAGGCGAGCCGTATGACTGGCTTCAGCGCGGCGAAGGGCTGGCTTTCACAAAAGCTTCAGCACCGGAAACCCGCAAAACCGCACAGCCCGAGCCTTAACTACGACATGCTGCAGCAGGCCGTGCAAAGTGAAGGCACGGGATCAGACTGTTCAGAGCTTGAGGCATTGACCTCTAAGAATTGCCCCTGCCGAGGTGTTACCATGACCACGGAACATCGTTCGATATCGGTGAAGTGCAGTGTTTGCTGCCCCAGCCAGAAGGATGCAACAAGATTCGGGAAGCCGCCTAAGTTGTTGGCACAAGTCTGATGTAGGGAGAGCTTTTGGAATCTTTCGTCAGCTCCGGCTAAGGAGAAGGAAAAATGCTTGACCAGCAACTTGGTGTGACTGCATTGCATGCTTCAAACATCATGCCTCGCAGAAATTGCGCGTGCTTTGTCAGCTGCTTCTGCAAGGCATGGATGGCCGACCATTCCTCACTGTTGCGGGCTTCAAAGTGCTGTCCCAGCCCTGCGTTTGGTGCGGGGGGACTCCTTGTCATGAGAACAATGATAACTTGTGCTGCTCGGACTGGATGTGCTGCACGGTTCGCGAGTGTTCAACCAGATTCTTGCCATGAGCCGTCGAACCCGTGCAATTCTGCGCATGAGCACACATGAGCACCCAGGCGAGCCTTATGACTTTGTAAAGAATGGCGCTGGTCATGCATTCCGAAGCCTACCTGGGCCGCGAACAGTTGCAGGCAGACCGATCGATCGAGTTAAGCGAGTCCTTAGCCACACGTCGAAGAGGCTGAGGTTAATTGGAGTGATCGTTTGAAAGTGCAGTAGATTCTGTCGATGCCCCGCAGAGGTTGCAAGTCCGGAAAGCCATCCTGGTATCCGCTCTCTGAGGGTGACGGGTATCAGGCCCATGGTTTGCGAATGTCATTCCAATGCTGTGCAGACACAGCGTTTCGCAATGCACGCTGAGGCGGGAGGTGCATCACAGGGTGCCCCACATGCAGCAACCCTGCAGCCGGTGCAGCCGAAACTTGGCGAACCCAACAGCGCAGCACCCGCGGCTTCTGTTGCTGCACCAAATCTGCAAAACATTGGCCTCGATTGCTGGTATGAGTGCAAACAAAAATCCGGGTTTTGTGACTACTGTGGACTCGGCAACGCTTGCTGCCGGAATGGCTATCAGGCAGAATCCCCGAAGGAATGCCAAGGCAACTTGAAATTCACAACCTGGCACCATGAATGCATCGTGCCTGATCGCTCAGCTGCACCAGCTGCAGCTGCTGCGCCACCACCAACAGCTGCTGTGCCACCACCGGCTGCTGCTTCTGCTGGCACCAGCCCCGCTGCCCCACATGCAGCAACCCTGCAGCCGGTGCAGCCGAAACTTGGCGAACCCAACAGCGCAGCACCTGCCGCTGCTGCTGCCACTCCAAGTTTGCAGCACATTGGCCTCGATTGCTGGTATGAGTGCAATCAAAGATCGGGGTTCTGTGACTACTGTGGACAAGGCAATGCTTGCTGCCGGAATGGCAAACAGGCAGAATCCCCGACGGAATGCCAAGGCAACTTGCAATTCACAACCTGGCACCATGAATGCGTCGTCCCTGATCGCTCAGCTGCTGCTGGTGCTACCCCCACTGCCCCTCACGCAGCAACCCTGCAACCGAACCAACTAGGCAACCCAAACGGGGCGTCACCAGCCGCTTCTGTGCCACCAGCGGCAGCTGGTGAAAGCCACGACTCGGCTATGGCCGCCGCAGGGGCTGCAGCCCAAGCAGCCGCCACGGCCGCAGGCAAGTCGGGCGAGGCCTTGATTGCATCGATCACAGAGGCCGTTTCGAAAGCTGCAGCTTCCGCAGGGATGAGTGCCGACCAGCAGAAGCAAGAAGCGGTAAAAGCAGCCCGCACGTATGCCGCAGCTGCAGGCCTTTCAGTTGCGGATGCAGAAAGTGCGGCACTTCATGCATTGGACGCCGCCCAGAACAAAGAATTTCAGACTGCCGGTGTTGCAATGCCACCAGCACCAACTATAAGTCCCGGAGTCCAGGCCGCAATGCCAACGATCAAGCCCGTTGTCCAAGCAGCTGGTGCCGCTGCTGCTGCCACTCCAAGTTTGCAGCACATTGGCCTCGATTGCTGGTATGAGTGCAATCAAAGATCGGGGTTCTGTGACTACTGTGGACAAGGCAATGCTTGCTGCCGGAATGGCAAACAGGCAGAATCCCCGACGGAATGCCAAGGCAACTTGCAATTCACAACCTGGCACCATGAATGCGTCGTGCCTGACCATTCGAAAAACGCTTACGAGCAGATTGCACTTGCAGCCGAAGCCGCAGCAAAGTCAGCTGCCGCAAGCGGTGCCACAGCTGCAGAGCAAGCACAACAAGCATCTGCAGCCCTTGGAGAGTATGCCAAGAAAATTGGGGTGCCACCGGAAGTCGCTGCCAAAATTGCAGGTGCTGGAGTTCAGGCCCCCGACGCCAGTCACTCACCTGCAGCGCATGCAGACATGACTGGCGAAGTTAAAGCTGCAACTGCGGCCGTGGAGGCAGCAGCTTCGTCGAATGGTACCCCGCAACAGCAGCTAGCACAGGTTGCCGAAGCAGCCGCAAAGAAGGCTGCAGAATCTGGCCAAGGCTTTCAACAACAGGCAGAGGCTGCAGCAATCGCAGCAGGCACTGTTGCTGCAAAGATCGGAGTGCCGGCCGCAGATGCTGTCCACATGGCGGCAGAAGGGGCTGCCAGCGCGGCGCTGGCAGCTGGTGAAAGCCACGACTCGGCTATGGTAGCCGCAGGGGCTGCAGCCCAAGCAGCCGCCACGGCCGCAGGCAAGTCGGGCGAGGCCTTAATTGCATCGATCACAGAGGCCGTTTCGAAAGCTGCAGCTTCCGCAGGGATGAGTGCCGACCAGCAGAAGCAAGAAGCGGTAAAAGCAGCCCGCACGTATGCCGCAGCTGCAGGCCTTTCAGTTGCGGATGCAGAAAGTGCGGCCCTTCATGCATTGGACGCCGCCCAGAACAAAGAATTTCAGACTGCCGGTGTTACGATGCCACCAGCACCAACTATAATTCCCGGAGTCCAGGCCGCAGATGCTGTCCACATGGCGGCAGAAAGGGCTGCCAGCGCGGCGCTGGCAGCTGGTGAAAGCCACGACTCGGCTATGGTAGCCGCAGGGGCTGCAGCCCAAGCAGCCGCCACGGCCGCAGGCAAGTCGGGCGAGGCCTTGATTGCATCGATCACAGAGGCCGTTTCGAAAGCTGCAGCTTCCGCAGGGATGAGTGCCGACCAGCAGAAGCAAGAAGCGGTAAAAGCAGCCCGCACGTATGCCGCAGCTGCAGGCCTTTCAGTTGCGGATGCAGAAAGTGCGGCACTTCATGCATTGGACGCCGCCCAGAACAAAGAATTTCAGACTGCCGGTGTTGCAATGCCACCAGCACCAACTATAAGTCCCGGAGTCCAGGCCGCAATGCCAACGATCAAGCCCGTTGTCCAAGCAGCTGGTGCCGCTGCTGCTGCCACTCCAAGTTTGCAACACATTGGCCTCGATTGCTGGTATGAGTGCAATCAAAGATCGGGGTTCTGTGACTACTGTGGACAAGGCAATGCTTGCTGCCGGAATGGCAAACAGGCAGAATCCCCGACGGAATGCCAAGGCAACTTGCAATTCACAACCTGGCACCATGAATGCGTCGTGCCTGATCGCTCAGCTGCACAAGCTGCAGCAGCGGCTGCACCACCACCAGCTGCTGCAATGCCGACTGCTCTGCCTGTAAATTCAAAGGTGGGTGCAGCGACATCGATCGTTCCCGCCACGGGAAAGAATGAAACCCTGCCCACTCCAGAAAAGCTTGCCTTGCAAGCGGCCATGAAAGCTGCGGCCACATCTCCAGAAGCTGCACAAAGCGCAGCTGAAAATGCCGCCTTGAATGCAGGCAGCTCACCAGAGCAAGCTGCAGAGATTGCACGGGCTGCTGCTTATGCTGCGACGGGGGGTGCTGTCGTTGCACATGCAAGTGCTAGCATTGCACCGCTCGAAGAAAAGACAGGATCCCAAGGCAAAAGCAGTACCGGCAACACTGGAAAATCTGGCAACGAGCCCAGGCCTGCAGAGGTCGATGCAGCGGAAGCCGGAGCTGAAGCTGCCCGAGGCGCAGCTGCCGAAGGAAAGACGCCTGCAGAGCAGGCAAAGGCAGCTGCCGAAGCAGCAGGGAAAGCTGCTATGAATGGAGGCATGTCGCTTGTCGGAGCGGAGGAGGCAGCAAGGAGCGCCGCAGTGCCGCTCAGACAAAAACAACATAAAATAACGCAAAGGTTACGCAAAGGGCGCAAGATGTCGTGAATGTGAGTTATTGGTAGCTTATATTCGAGCCACTCTACAGAGAACTACTTTGAGGCATGCTGCAAAGGATGCGGGCCTGGATTCCGAGGAGGCGCCGATATTCGGAACAGCATGGAACAGCCGTGTTGTTGCAGAGCACATGCCTGGCACTTTCCAAGCCAAGAGCCCCCACCACCACCACATGATTCGTAGATTGACAGTGTAGATTCTCAGATCGACTTATGCGCTGCAAAAGGCATGTAGGAACTTCTGACTCCTGCGGCATCCTTTGGCATGTGCTCTGAGGCTGCTCGCGTGGGCACACTGGCTGCCGAGGAAGCTGCTTCGTCGGGCGCATTCACGGCACGTGACATCGTGGTCAGGTCAACGCAACTCGATTGTACCATCACGAAACCCCACAATGGTAAACGAGGAATGGACTCCGCGGCTCTGTCTGGAGTTGAAATTCAACTCTTGATATTTTGACATGTTCTCTCGTCCTGAGGCCTAAACAACAGAAAAACCTCGGCGGCGTGGAGTCTTCACAGCCGGGTGAGCCTCTGATAAAGGTGGGAAATCAATGAAGTAGGTGCCAGAATTGCCTACAGCTGCCCTCATTGGCAAACATGTCGCCGGACCAGGCCAAAGAGGGCGGCCATGATGAGACGCAGGGTATGGCAATGGCAGCAGTTGCTTGGTGAAACTTCTGCGTGGCACGAGTTGTCTCCGCTGCTCATTGTGGCTGTGTCTCTTCCAGTGTTAGGCATTAGAATAAGTGGGTGCTTGTCGGCAATCGTCCGCAGCTGGCACAGCAGCGGTATTCGGGGTGCACAGGGCCTCGCTATGCCTCGCTGGTTGTGCAGGGTGCACGTAGGGTGCAAAGGTGCTTGCGCATGGGTGCATGGGGTTGCTCGGAAGCTCGCGGGACAAACGGGGGAGGAGGCCGTCATGCAAGCATTCCCGACTCTGGTAAGTGTATCATGAAATTGGCGCAAAGTGTTGGCTCGCTGTAGGTTCTGCGCATCAGGCACTGTTACCATCAGGCCTCTAAGCAAAAGGGCCTTGAGTGTTTGTGTGTGTGTACCATCCGTAGCTCGGATGTTGTTTTATTCTTTCGTTTAAGTTTTTAGGTTGAGCCATCAATCTCCTTCCGCACTCAGTGAAGCTACGCCTGGTTGGCCACCAGTGTGTATCTGCTTGACGACATTTATGACGACGTAGTTCATTTTTAATGTCCTAATGTTGTGAGTATGGTTGCTTCAGTTTCAACTATTGAAGAAGAATGAACACTTTGACAACTGGCTTCGGCCAGCTCGCCTGAGTGTGTCTCGGCTGTGTGCTGTGTGTCGGGCCCATCTTGAAGCATAGACTATCATAGACTTAGATGCCCAGGATGCAACAAGTTGCTCTGGAGATCAATGTCACGGTGACGATGGCCGCCTTGGACGTATCTGGTTCTGGCCATGCGTGGCCGCAGCTATTCTGGCGGTGCTGGCATGCTGCGCGACCTACATGCACGCGCTCCCTTGTCTTAAGCTAGCCTTATTTGGCCGCTTTGTAGCCCTGCAGCAGTCCTGCAGCTGATCCTTGTGCCGTTTTCATACTGAGGTCTAAGCAGGGAGGCAAAGCTGACCGAAGCGTGTCTGTAGAACTCCCCAGATCTTCTGGCGATGTGGAGAAGCCAGAGGAAGCACCTTTGATGCAGCAATACGGCCCCGCAATGCTCCCAGCACCGCTGCTGGCAGCTGCAGCTGCAAGCCAACAAGGCAGCAGGGCACAGGGGTCGGCTACACAGGCTTTACCTGAAGGAGGCTATGTCTATGCAGAACCATCGCCATACCTGCTTCCTGACGGGGCTGTTCCTGTCACTGTTCCTGAGCCATTCTACGCAAATGCACCGGGCAGTCCGACTTCCTATGCCAAGACAGGCACGCCTAGAGCTGGAGTTCAAATGGGCATCGCCAGTCCAGCTGACGCAGCCTATGTGCAAACCGGCATGCCTGCAATGGGAGCTCAAATGGGTGTTGCGGGTCTGCCAGCCAACTATGTGCAAACCGGCATGCCTACAATGGGAGCTCAAATGGGTGTTACAGGTCTGCCAGCCAATTATGTCCAAACCAACATGCCTACAACGGGAGCTCGAATGGGTGTTGCAGGTCTGCCAGCCAATTACGTGCAAGCCGGCATGCCTACAACAGGAGCTGCTGCGGGTCTAGCAGCGGCAGCTGCTCCAGTGTCCACCAGCCAGGCAAGCTATGCGCAAACTGGCATGCCCACAGCCGGAGCTCAAATGAGTGTTGCAGGTCTGCCAGCAAATTATGTGCAAACCGGCATGCCTACAACAGGAGCTCAAGCGGCCATCGCAGGTACGCCAGCCCTCTCCTATTTGCAAACCGGCATTCCTACAACGGGAGCTCAAGTGACTGCTGCGGGTCTCGCAGCGGCAGCTACTCCAGTGTCCACCAATGCAAGCTATGCGCAAATCGGCATGCCCACAACCGGAGCTCAAATGGGCATCGCAGGCCCACTGCCAGCAGCATCAGCCACTCCAGCCTCTGCTTATGTGCAAACAGGCATGCCTTCAATGGGAGCTCAACAGGGTGTTGCGGGTCTTCCAGCTACAGTGGCAGCTACTCCTTTGTCCACCTACGCACAGACTGCAAAGCCAGGCATGCGCGCAGCTTCACCGGCGGCAACAGGTCAATTCGTGCCAAATGCGCAATCAGTTAGCCCCGGACTGGGAGGAGCGGGAGGAGCGGGAGCAGCGCCCGCAAAGTCACAAGCAGCTTCATCAGCCATGGACCTCTTCGATGCACTAGATGTGAATGGAGACGGCGTCTTGGATGCGGCAGAGTTTGCTCAACTCCAAACGTTGGGTGCCAGCCCCTCACGCAGAACGGCCCCAGCTGTGCCGAGCGAGCCAGTAGCATCCAAGTCTGGGGTTGCGTCCTCAGTTGAAAGTTGGAACTCGGACACTGCAGGATGCGGATGTGCAAGTTCACAAGCTCTACAAGTGCCATAATGTTGACTTCGCATTAATAAACCCCCCCCTTGATTGATCAATCTCTCTGGCCAGGGCCTCCTTAATTATATTCGCCTAAATCCTGGTAGGAAGTACTATTAGTTTTAGTATTCGGTAGTAGTACCAGTACTAGTACTAGTAGTACTAGTAGTACTAGTAGTACTAGTACTACCGTACAAAAAAATATTCCGGGCTTGATTTTATAATTGTGGGGGGCTATATTATTGTGTTCCGGCAGCTGGATTTTATAATTGTAGCGGGAATTCCTAATGTGAAGTCAACATTATACATATATATACACACTATATATTCACATTCACATTCACATTCACATTCATATTCATATTCATATTCATATTCATATTCATATTTGGGTTCAAGGCAGGAAGTCAGCCGCTGCGTGTTTAGGGCTTCTGAGTGCAATGACTTCCCGCGAAACATTTTAAAATAAAGAAAAGGCAGTATGAAAACCTTCCCATCCCATATCTCGCGCCGAGATGTACTATTTCACGATACTTATCGAGACAACTACACATCTTCATCTGCTGCGGGTATATCAGGCGCACGTTTCCTTTTGCGAACCTTCTGCGCTGAAGCATCGGTGCTTTCTACCTTGGCAATGACGAGAAGTCAGGCCTTCGGCCTAACTAAGTACGAAAAGTCGGGCCATGTTCTGGAAGCCCACTGTTGTGATATTTCCGCGACCGAAGCATTTCGGCGACTGTGTCTTCGTTCAAAAATCTGTGTCCCGATGCTGGGTTCCTTGTCAAGAGAGCTCCCATCTTGGGTCTTGTGGTGTTATCCAGACCAGGCGTTGACAGGGTCTCAAGGTGTGATGGCTGAACCAGGTGCGGGAGTTGGTACTAAAATACCTGTCCAGCCGAGGAAACTTAACTGCCCAAGAGTCCGCCCATGAAGAGCACACGTTAAAAACAATATTTTCAGGGTGAGCGAAACGCACGCCGTGCAAAAGAATATTATAACGTAGTGCATTCATGAGGTTGTTTCGTTCATGTGTTCACACCCCTATTAATAATGGTACTTTGAAGGGGCCGCATGAGTAATACTACTATAAGGCCCCTGAACAGACTTTCCTTAGGACCTTGTCCTCCATTGAACTCACCCACGACATGAAATGAGATGAACGGGGAGAAGTACATTATCATATGGACAAAAGATGTCTCTTACCCTGTCACTTCTTCAATAATGCTTTGCGTCAAGAAAAAGCCCTTTCCACGCCAATCCGTTATCTTCGTTTGGGGGTTTTCTCGTTTCTGAAGCTCTATAATTATTTGTATCCTTCAGTTTGGACATCTTTTCATTTATTGTCGTGTCCAACTTTAGGGATGTGGCCTGGAGAAGCTTTCTGTCTTCCAGATCCTTGCGAATTAACTTTTGCTAACTCACGTCTTTTATAGAATGCTGCTATATCTTTAGAAAATGCTTTTATTAATTTAGAAATTTCATCACCATACATTATTTTCTTCACTTTGTGGTCATTCTATTTATCTTATCTTTTTATTAGTTTCGTATTCTCGCATATTCAATGAATGATTCACTTTATGGTTGTTTTTTCTTTTTGCATACAGCATTACATTTCTTTCATCTAATGCTTGGTATCTTGCTTCTTTGTATTTTCTTCTTTTCTTGTGTTCACACCTTGTCTGTCCCCTGTAGTTCTTGGCGCTGTCTCGGATATCCTGGTCGGCTGCATAACTTCCCATGGTGTGCACAGGTGGAGTACTACAAAACTCTATTGCTAGTAAGCAGGCAAAAGATCTGCCAGATGATGTGTTTGGATGTGAGTGCCAGGCTCACAGACATGAAAAAGCAAACGCCCATGCCCAAAAACAATACAAAACAGCAAGAAGCCCAAGCATACAATTGTTTAAGGACTCGTGGGAAAACTGGAACACCGAAACGAAAAAAATCAGACCAACAAAAACCCATTCCCGAAAAGCAACAAAACCAATACTAACAAAGCCAAAAAGCAAAGAAAAGACACTTTTCCGGGACTCTTGATTTGCAAGCTTATTTCCACAGCTTTTGCAGAGTCACGGATATGTTTTGGTAATTTTGTTTTTTTGGTATTGGATGTTTGGTTTTTTAAGAATTGGTTTTCTGGGTTTTTGGTTTTGTTTTTTTGGGTTGTCGGTGTTCCTGGTCTCCTAAGAGTCCCGCAAAATTTGTATGTTTGGGTTTTGCCTTTTTGAATATTGTTTTTGCGGATTTAGCATGTCTGGCCTGCTTGCGAAACCCCAAAGCGCAGCGGCTCATGTTTGTACTCATGTTTATTTATGTATGTTTCTTGTCCATGCGCGTGCTGTGTGGCTTGAGGTCTTCCAAAAGCGCTGAGTCGAAGGACAGCGGTGCGGATTGCATGTGGCAGTGCCCGCCCCAGCGCAAGCCCGTAGGACAGCAATGATGTAATGAGAATACCTTCTTTACAGCACCATATGGAGAACTCACACAACGCCCCCTGTCACCGCCAGGCCGCCAAAACAAGGCCCAAATTTGGCTACGGACACTCGGCGTATTGTAGGATTGCAGAGGTTTCGAAGTGAACAGCCTCAAAACTCTTCAGGCTCAGCCCGAATAGTCCGCTGTGGCTTCTGACTTCGTTTGACCTGCCCAGGCAATGATTCCCTTGATCTTCCAGTACTGTTCACAGCACCTGTGATCCATACTAGTGTCAACCACGGCTACTTGACTCAGAGTAGCAAGACGACTTTTGCAAAGATGATGTTGCGCAGAATAGTGAAATAATAGGGTTGAAGACTTGGCCAGGGTGCGCAGGTGCACATGTTTCACTGGCAATGACCAGCAAGAACGCGATCGCATGCCCTCAATGAGCAGTGAACACCACTTATCCATTCATGCGCTGTTCGAAGTCGGATATATGAAGTGCGGGACAGTGGCGATCGCGAGATTTAGGCAATGACAATGAGCATGCATCGGCAAAGGCCGAAAAGCTTCAGCATGGTGGAAGGTGCTGGTCGTGTTTGCTGCAAGTATCCAATCCGTTTGGTTCTATGCAAATGGATTTCAAACTATTATGTGGTCATGTTGTTTTATCTAAACTACTGGCTGTTCACAAATGAGCTCTCTTCACAACAGCACCCCTTGCAGTCTCTTGCATGCACCTGGCAAAGTCAATTTGCAACTTGGATCAAGGCTGCCACTGCCTTACATTTTACAGGCACAACCGCACATGGCCCAACCTGCATGGAGGATGAAGAAGCTGAGTCGGAAACCAGCAATCTGGTCTGGGTAAATAGTTTACTCAGGGCTCTTTGGCCAAATGCGACTGCCGCGCTGGTGACCTTCGCATACAATGACCTTACACCCCGGCTGCAGCAAGGTCTCCCGCTTCCCTTCAAAAGTGCACACTTTGCAAGGTTCTCACTCGGAGATGGTGTTCCTAGTTTCGGTCCAATTGATGTGATTCGGCGATCTGGCAGTCACATCTGCATCGAGTTGGAGATGTGTTACTCCAGCGCAGTGGACATTCTATTGGCTGCCGGGTCGCATGGTGTGTCACTGGGGGTGAAGCAGATTCGGTTCCACGGCAGGCTGTGCATCGAAATGAAGCCAATTATTGACACTTGGCCAATTGTTGGCTCATTTCTCTTTGCGTTTGCAGGCCAACCACAGCTGGAATTGGAGTTTTCAGGCATTGCAGATGTGCCTTTGCCCGGCTTGCCTGGCTTGGCAAAGAAGGTTCAAGGAATCGTGGATGGGTCGTTGGCCCATGTCGTGCTTCCGAATTGCAAGTCTGTGCGCCTCACCAGTGATGAGAGGTTCCTGAGTTTGGCCGCTTGCTCGAGCAAGGAACCGATTGGCGTTCTTGAATTGCAAGTCGCGCGTGGCATCAACTTAGCAGGTGCAAATTGGCGTGCTGCTGGTATGGGGCCGAACGTGCGAAGTTTCACCTCAAACCCATACTGTATTGTGCAAGTGGGCAACGTCAAGGCACGCACAAGCAGTGTGCGGGCAACAACAAATCCTGATTGGAATGATGATCCCTTCTTCTTTCTTGTGTATCACAACGATCAAGAGGTACTGATTGACGTCATGGATGACGACGGAGGTTTTTTGCAGCGCAACTTTGTGGGACTTTTAGGGCGCTTGCGGATCACAGTTCGCGAGCTGCTTTCACGCAGGTCCCGGCCAAGACGGAATGCAACTGCTTGCCCTAGCTCTTGCCGCTTTGCCCTGGATACTTCGCAGGTTAAGCGGGGGTTGCTCCACGTAGATGACCCTGTCAACACTGGAGTGCCCTCAGAGCTTGATGTGATTGTTGGATGGCTTGAAATGTCTCCCATGTCTCCCAAAGTCAACATTGAACGAATTGGAGCTTCTGAGAGACGACCTGAAGGCATCATCTTGTTGGAGCTTCATCACGGAACGGGTTTTCCAGAGGAAAGTCTTACGGAAGCGAGTACCAGATTGGTTTGGGCATGCTCTTTGAGCGAGGATGGAGAACGTGAACGTGTCGGCTCCAGTTGCCGGAGCTCTGCAGGAAGGCGTTCTGAAGAGCCCAATTTTCACTTGCCCATACCGCAATGCCTGTATTCGGCCATAGATCAGCTCACAGCTCGAGGTGTCGAACCTGGAGAGGTCGCGGACATTGTTCAGATTGATCGTGTGCAAGTTGAGCAGTACCTGTCGGCGAAGTCGCGCTTTTTACAAGATGTCTCCGCTCGGCAGCTGGAGACTGGTGAAGACCAGTGTGTTGAGTTGGCATGGCATGAAACCTTGGCGTTACTGGCTTTGGGCCAAGAGTGTCATTGAGTGTCAGCAGTTGTGCCTTTGATGCTGCCTCTTATATCCTCCTTTCCTTTCCTGTGAGGTTCACAGGCCGAAGACGGCTCATGTCCATCTCCGCCTTGTTGGTGAAATGGACTATGTCCTTGGAAGCTTGGCCTGCATTGTTCTCTGCGGGTGGATGGCTCGGTGCTTTCTGTGTTTTCCGTCTTTTCACCTCCGCTGGTTAAAGTTTTTGGTTAAATGCTGGCCTGCCACTTGGTCACTTGATGTCAGCAGTGCTGAGGATAAGGCAAGGGCTCCGAAAGTGTCATGATATCCTAGGGATGTGAGTTCCCTATAGTTTCCTGCCGAAGATTCGCAGACCTCTGTCTGAAAGTCTGAAATGTCTGATGCGCACAAAGCGGTCCATGCTGGCATGTTTGGTGTTTGACAAACCTATGGATGGCGCGTATTCAACCTGAATCTGACCCAAGTAATATCAAGTAATCAGACTTCAGACTCGGGTGCCGAAACCGTTCGAAGCAAGATGACTCGACGCTCGCGTCTAAGGTGATGCTGGGCCAATCCGAGCTGCTCAGCTGTTTGGCATCCAGACTCCTTTCTTGTATGGAAAACCTGTTTGAAATCTCAGCGAAGTGTGGATGATTTGTTGTTCGCTTTCGTGTGCCAACGTCTGTTTTGCTTCGCTGGCGATTTGCTCTGGCATTGCAGCGTCGCCTTTGTTGCCCGCTTTCGTGATCTTTGGTTGCAGCTCTCGATCTCTCCAGTGGAGAGCTATTATTTGAAACGAACACAAAGTCGAGGTGGATACACAAGCATTCACAGTATATAGATGTGGGCATGCATGCAGGCGCTAAGCCCTTAAAACCAAGATGCATCTGAGACAAAGGCTTACCCAGGTGCAGAGGCGGCTGACATGGGCCAACGCTGGCCAGTTATCAGAAAATTGCGCGGCGATGGGTGTAAGTTTTGCGAGAGTAACTTATCTAAGAAGACCGTTTCGCGACGAAGGAAAGATGAACTCTCATGACTGGGGATACAGTTTGTAGCTTCTGAGTTCTGGGCGCTCATCTTGAGACCTGCCACACAGTCCGGGCCAAGGGGCAAGAGGCGGCATCATGCAGCCACCATGGGTTATTCTTGCTCTAGTGCTTATCTTGCATTCCAGGTCGAAGACGTGCTGACCACAGGCACCGCCAGCAGCACAGTATACGGTATACGTTGTCATTTTCACTTTTACTTGCTTGTAGGGACGGCCGTGACGAGAGAGGGCGCTCCAAGCAAGCAGTGGCAGGTTCTGGGCACTTGCGGACGGTTTGCAAGCTTTCTGCGGCATCTGGTAGCCTTGCCAGTGGCCGTGAGCATGCAGGTCACTGGCTTGGTGTGATCGGGGGTAGGAGACACCTCTGTTGGATACTCTATTGTCCTCAGTTGCTTCTGCACATTCCTTCACATTTCTGCACCATGTTGTGTGTGTGGAAGCGCTTAAGGCAAGCTTTCAGCCTGGATGTTTCCAACCTGTACCGCACCGACCACATCCAGGAGTCGCTTCAAATCCGCCTCTTTGCCGAAGATACAGGATTTGTAAAAAGACGCTGAAACGAGAGGATTTGCTTATGCTCATGTTTGCTCCATATTCAAATTATATATTTGCTTCATGGTTGTTGATTGGGATGGGAGTGATCCTGCCTTGTCAAGCATGCCTCGCTGCATTCGCCGCAACAGCAAGTCTTGGGTGCTGTTGTTGGGCCTCGAGCTGCCGCATTGGCACTTTCGGGTCAAATCGAGCCAACATCTCTTAAAGCCGGACGTTGATTACTCCACCAGTGGCCAACTATGTAAGAGTATGCAACCGTAAATGCCCGAAGCACCGACCACGTGACGACGTGCACCCACATGATCCGCAGCCGAGCCACCAAAGTGTCACCTGTCACCTTTAAAAACAATGCGGTTTCACTACTTGGGAGACTTGGGCTGTGCATGCATCCGACCCAGAGGCCAGATTTGTTCAAGAGTATGGGAAATGAGGGTTTCCTTTAAACTCAGGCAATTTCGAATCTGGGAAAATTCGGGACTCTTTTGGCAGCCTCCGAGGCTCAGCAAAGTCTCATTTTTCTTGGAGTGTGACTTCAACAAGAGGAAGGAGAGCCCAGGAGAGCCCAGGAGAGCCCAGGAGAGCCATAGTTTTTAAAGGCCGAAGTCGGGCCGTAGTGATTGATGGTCAAGATTCTTGCCATCACGACTCGCAGTCGCCGCCAACTGCATTCAAGGGTATCCAAGGGTTGGCAGAAGTACCTGCGTGCACAGTAGGTGAGCAGCTTGAAAAATCTGTCTGTGCTTTGGTTGAGGTGCGAATGGAAGTCTCGGTACGCTACCAGGCCCTCACGTGGCGTGCTGAATCTGGCTAACCCGAAACTTTTGGCGAACTCCTGCAGCTGCGCATTCTCGCGTTGGGCCTAACGTGCGTCTCCATGGTATACACAAAGCTCGGAGAACAACATCCTCCCGAAGAACAAATTCTAAGGAAAAACACAGCCTGACCTTGCAATCCTCGCGACGACGGTTTCTCCTTGATGCGCTTTGTCTTCATAGCCAATGAGCGAGATGCCTGCATGTTGTGGGCTGGAGATTGGGAACGTGACATCCATGGAACGCAATAATGGTTGGAATGGCTGCGGAACTCTTCGGGACATTGGCACGCACCGGATCGTTCGCTGCATTACAAGATAAAAGCGTGATCAGCATAAGCCCGCCTTGAGTGAACGGTTTCGTGCCCGGCATCCTTTGCACAAAGCCGCTGCCGAAGGCTCCAGCTTGTCAACTCTACGCAGTAGACATACTCGTTGCATGCCCTAAGCAAATGCAAAGAGGTTCGAACAACTTGGTACACGTACGTTTGTCCTTCTTTCGCTGGCCTGGAGCCGCAGCCTCGATTTGGGGACTTGCCATGGCACCACAGCAGGCAGTGGGCCGAGCAGGTCGTTCGCTTGCACTGGTGTGGGTCTTCCCCACAGTGGCGCTCGAGACACCTTATCTTTGGAGCCCACCAATCCTTTCAGAGGAGACTTGCAATCGCCTGATATCACTGGCGCACGAGGGGATGAGGCCGTCATTTTCGAAGGAACGGGCGATGGAAACCCTCCATCTCCAAACCACGAGAGCCTTTGGCTTCAATGCTTTTGACTTTGACGGAAATGGACATCTGGATATGTTGGAGGTTTCTGCGGCTGTACGGTCTTTGCTGAACGCGCCGCTTTTTTCCATCCGGGATGCTGCAGCTTGGATTCGAGGTAGCACGGGCAAGCCAAATTTGTCACTTGCCTGGCTGGCGGATGAGGATCACCTGGCATTTCTGGCATTCCGCAGCAAAGAGGTATTTTCCCGAATCTTCGAGCAGAATCCTGAGAAGCTGACGAGGCACTCTTTCCAAACCTCGCTGTCATGGGATGCGGCTGGGTCTCTTGCATCTGAACTGAGCGTCATCGTCGACGACCTGGTGGATAAAAGCTTATGGAACCGGTTGCAGCTGGCTGAACCCTTGCAGATCATTCGTTATATGAAAACAGGCCACTATGCACCACACTCAGATGCCCGGCCTATAACTACCATCAAAGGCATTGTAAGTTTTGCTTAAAGTTAGTGCAATATAGTGCGCAGCTTGGTTGCACCCAACATTCAACGCTTCCATACGCTTCCCTCCAGCGGAGGACAGTGGCTGGCCAGGGCATCGCCGGGTGTCATTTTTGGTGTATCTCAAAGCTCCTAGAAGGGGTGGTGAGACATGCCTACTGCAGCTTGGGCTGCAAATGGCTCATTGCCCAGCTAACATCAAAATATCTTCGACATTCTTCAGCTCATGCTCAGATTTCGTGCCTGCCGAGGCCAGGCGACTGGAATTTCAGCTTGCATTTGTGGGGGGCAGGACGGCACGTGAGGCTGCACGTCTATGCGGGTCTCATGGAGTGTGACAAGCCTCCCTGTATCAGGGCGCTACAGCAGAGATTGCGCCAAGTTGTTTCAGTCTGCCGCTTCGCAGAAATATGTTCGGACGAGCCGTGGCTCGGAGGGGGGGGCTGCCGAATCAAGTGTGCATCTGCGAACGGCAGTGGCATGCAGTGAAAGGATCTGAAAGACATTCTGGAAGTTCAGGTTGGTGCTCATTGCTTCAATCCCATCCCCGGGCGCATGCTGGCCTGGAGAAACGAATGGAAGGAGGCCTCTGAAGAACAACAAGACTAAGAGTATTTTAGTAGAATGTAGTGAGCGAGGAGCAGCTTGATAGTAAAGTCATTGCTCACAGCACAGTGCACAGAGATGCAGAAAGTATCAGAAAGTCCATACTGCAAAGCGCTTAGAAGGGAAAACAAATTCTTGTCACATGTTTGGACTGACAGGATGGTTCCCTGGAAGTGCCTGGCGCTCACGTCGCTTGTCCAGTTCTGGAAGGCTTCTCGGCTCCTTAGCAAACCTTTCCGCATTCCAATCATATTTTTCATATTGTTCATCCGTCGGTCTTGAGAGTAGAACGGCAGCAAGGTGAAAAGTGGGTAGCAAGTGCATGGGCCAGTCATGCTTGCGCACCAGACATGGTGTGCTAGAGCCTGACGATGGGCACTAGCTTGACTGCCACATCGAAAAGGCCTGCGCTCGCGCCGTCTGTGCCATGAATTGTCAATGCTGGCCATCCAAACACCCGCAAACCAACCTTTCTTGTCCGTCGATCTCAGCCAGGTTTAGGAACCTTCCTCGGCATTCGCATGCTAATTATCGGGCTTTTGTCCTCTCTAAGCTTGGTTAGCCAGCTCTTCGCGAATGCACATGCATCCTTGTCTAGCATGCCTGATGACATTAGCTGATCAGGTCGTGAGGTCAGTCTTTGGAAGTATTTCCCCGGTGTGCATAGGCAATTTTTTGAGCGCTCCAACTACTTCCCTGGCAGCCATGGCTTTGGGCCGGGATCCCAGCAGTGTTTTGGTTTGCTTTCCTGGGGGATGATACGGCAAAAGACCTTCGACCCTGTATGTGAAAGTGCGGGGCGGGCTGGAAAATACCAAACTCTCCCCAAGAACCACCCTTCATGCCAGTCGAGTGGCATAGTGGCATTGCGCCTTAAAGCGAAACCAACAGAAACTATTAGGTTTCGCCAGCCTTGAGGACTTTTGGGGTTTACTGTAGAATCGAGTTTTGGGTTGTGCTACCGACGAAAAAACTTCCTGGCGTTGCCCTCAATCGGCTAAAGCCTAAACCTAGCAGTCCTATGGCTTTCAGCTAAGGAGTGACTCAGCTTCGCAGCCCCTGCTGGGCCCTCGGACCGCTGAAACCCTTTTGATTCTGTGGTTTGGAAGTTCTGTTTCGCCAGAGAGACAGACCCTGTTTATCTCTGAACCCTTAGCACTGAGGGAGGACAGCGTAGGACCCATGCTGGAGGGCAGTAATAATTGGAATAGCAAGAATAGCAATCATAGCAATTATCGTATAATCGTAAGACTAGTGAGAGGAAGGCTGCTGAGGTCCTTCGATTTGTGGGTTTCGGGCTTGGGGGGCTGCAACGTTTCGTACACAAGGCATCCCGGAAGACTACATAAATACATTATCGGATCATTATCGGCTGTGCTGCTGTCAGCCCCATCTTGATAAAGCAAGTCTTCAATGAGGTACCTTACTTGGATCATGGGACTTAATAGGTAAGTAGGGTTATAAGTGCCCTAATTGCAGTTATAACTATGATTACCCTAAGTTACCCTGAAACCACAGTACTTCTCGCTCCTCGGAGAGCCTTCTCGCACTGCAGAATCCACGTCAGGCTCTGACCAAGCATTTCCGCACTCTGAAGCTGCCCCGGCCTGGGCACCAATGCTTCTCAGATTCTGCGACTGTAGCACTGGACTGCAGCTGCGTGGGACGTTTTGCTATGTCTTGCTATTTTAGTGGTGGTCAGGCCCAACACGGCAACGCTGGATGACGTCCGGAAGGCTACATGGTATTGTGATGATATGTGTGGTGTGCGACGATGTGTTGGCTGACGCACAAAGCACATCCACAGCTGGACCAAAGCGGGCATGTCCATGATAATATCCACCAAGCCTGTGCAGATCATGCTGCAGACCAGCTTCCTTTGCATGATGGGTGGGTAGGTCAAGGAGCTTGTGAAGCGGGTGATCTCCGCAAGAGCGCTGAGATACGTGCCCACATCGTCCATCGGTCCAAAGACACGGACACTGCGATTTGCACACGCTCCTACCCAAGCAACAGAGTGTAATTATCAGCTGCACAGCCGTCAGTCTTTCCATGTCACTTCGAAATGCACTGCGCAAACTACCACGTTGGCCTCGCATCAGAAACACACCTTGGCCAGGCCGATCGGAAGTTGGCTGTGAAGTACCATCCAGTGCCTGGTCTGCAATGTCTTCTCGCCATGGGAGAAGATCGGTAGCTGTCGGGTGTCGTTTAGAAGCACCTCTCGAGTTGACCACAAAGTCTATCCCAAACTGTATGCCCATTTTGGACCAAGGTCCAAGGTTTTCAAGGTGCCAACAAAACCCTGTGGCATCGAATTTTTGTCTAGAAGATGAGTGCAGCCCAAAGGGTCTTGCTCCTAGCGATGCTGGTCGCCTCCTGTCGTGGCCGACAAGGGGACACCTGCCAGGAACCAGACAGGCAAGCTCTCATACAGTTGCGGAATGCGCGGGAGAAGGGTTTGCTGGACGTGTCGGTGACCTTCCAACAGCTGCCTGTTCTCCAGCTCTTCTTTCCCTTCGGGAATCCGATGCCGGCAGGCAACTTTTCCGGCTCTTCCGGGCCCAATGTCACGAATGTCACGGAACACTTCGAGTGCGTGGTGCCCATTCCGCCTGGGGCCTCTTCCGACAAATGGGTGCCGTGCCTAAACATCACAGAGCGGCAGCAGCTTCAGCAGGACGTCATCGCAGCCTCCTCGAACGCCAGCGAACCAAGCCTGGCTGAGTATCTTGCGACGGGTTCGTGGGATCCGGCGGGAAAGTGGGCAATTCCTATGGATTACTGGAACGACATGCGATGCAACTGTCCAAACTGCGCGGATGAGGAAGAGCTGTACACGGCTGTGGCATACGCGGTGCAGGGTAGCGGCCTCACCCTGGCGGACAACTTTACCGACTATGTCTTGAACTGCGAGACCTGCCCGGGGTGTCCTGACCAGAACCAGTGTGGTGCCGTGGTCGACTGCGACCCGGACGCCTTGCGGCTTGTTCCGTCTTGTGCACAGAAGCTCCAAGAGGATGGCTGGAACATCGATCATCTCTACGACTGCGGGGATGGGTTCAAGATCCCGAAGCTCTATGTCAATGACAGCGAGTATTGCGACTGTCCAGACTGCAGCGACGAGGACAAATTCACTTGCAGCACTTGCAACGCGGAGTGTCCAACCGAGTGTGGCTATTGGGCTTTGTGCGGCAGCAACTCCTCGTTTACGCTGAACCCGATTTGCCATGGTGCCAATTTCAATTGGGATGCCCGCGCCGGCTACAAGGCTTGCAACAATGGCTGGACAATCCCGGCTGACTATTGGGATGACGAGTTCTACTGCGACTGCCCAGACTGCGAGGACGAAAGTACTATCACCTGCCAGGAATGTGGCGGGTGCCCCAACGCCTCCGCCGCCTGCGGCGAATTTGTGGAGTGCTTCACTTCAGAGAGCATCCTGCCGACCCTGAACCCATATTGCATCTTGCCTGCTTTGGGCGGATGGTCGCCAGGAAGCATCATCTCTTGCAACGCCTCAGATCCTGACGCCTGGAACATTTCGTCAAAATACATCAATGACGGGTACTGCGACTGCGGCAATTGCGAGGATGAGGATGAGTGGACCTGCGCGAACTGCTCGGTGGGATGCCCCAAACAATGCGGCGACAGCGTCCAATGCGTTGCGAACGAGGCGAACTTCAAGGCATGTGGTAGCATTCCAGACTTGGTGTACAGTTATGGATCTGGCGGCTATGGCGGCTATGGCCCTGGCTCTGGCTATGGTGGCTATAGCCCTGGCTCTGGCTTTGGCTATGGTGGCTATAGCCCTGGCTCTGGCTATGGCGGCTATAGCCCTGGCTCTGGCTATGGCGGCTATAGCCCTGGCGGGCATGACGATGCCAATACTGGTTTCGACGATGGCGACGATTCTATCCTGGACGATGCCAATACTGGTTTCGATGACGGGGATGACGCTGGGGCCCAGAATCTCCTGAGCAACAAAGCCCAGACGAGGCGGTCCAAATTCTTCGTGTGCGAGAACGGTTGGACCATTCCGGTCGACTGGTACGACGACAAGGACTTGGGGGACTTGGAATAAATTATAATTTTCTATGGGTCCTAATCCCTATATACCCAGAAGAACCCATAGAATTTTTTATTTTTACAGGGCCCCCAAATTCACCCTAGAGGAGTTCTGCGATTGTCGCAATTGCGAAGATGAGCCCAACATCACACTTGAGAGCTGTGGTATCCAGCCGCTGGCTTTCTGTGGAGACTACTTCTATTGTGGCGGAGAGGCGTCCGAGGTGCAGGGGGCTTGCGACTATGAGATATGGGAGCTCGGGCTGAACCCCGTGGTTTGCAGCAATGGCTGGACCAAGCCAGAGGATGCTTGGAATAACAACTTCTGCGATTGCCCGGACTGCGAGGATGAGAACGAGACGGGTTGGAACTGCGACAATTGCTACTGTCCTCAGGAGCAGTGCCGTGACAACGGCGCTTGTTTCGCTGGGATTTCCAGCCTCTTTGGCTTCCAGGGTACTTTTAATGCCCCGCCACCGTCGGCAAGCACTACAACTACGACGTCGTCGACTCCGTCGCCGGGAACGACCTCGTCGACAAGCACTACAGACACGACGTCGTCGACTACATCCCCGGGAACGACGTCGTCGACCAGCGCTACATCCACGACGTCGTCGACTCCATCGCCGGGAACGACCTCGTCGACAAGCGCTACAGACACGACGTCGTCGACTACATCCCCGGGAACGACGTCGTCGACCAGCACTACATCCACGACGTCGTCGACTCCATCGCCGGGAACGACCTCGTCGACAAGCGCTACAGACACGACGTCGTCGACTACATCCCCGGGAACGACGTCGTCGACCAGCACTACATCCACGACGTCGTCGACACGCACTGCGGCCACGACGGCTGGCATCGACACCACGACGTCGGCTGCCACAGATGTTTTGTCTCAAGACCTTCCGCAAGATGTTGCTGACGGTTCCACGATCATCCCTGTAGCTGATGTCACCCTGTTCAACGTCGGGGACATCATCCAGATCTCTGATGCGAATGGGGCTGAGATCAAGATCGTGGTTAATATTACCTCCGAGGGCACATCGGGACCACAGCTCCTTGAGCAACATGTTGTCACCAGAGCCGCCCTGCACATGGCAGATACGGCTGTACCGGGAAATCTCATTGTGGACTCGCCACTTGAGAGCAACTACCTGGTGAACCGGTCCGCAAGTGTGACAATTGTCTTGACATCGTCGACTACATCGCCGGGAACGACGTCGTCGACCAGCGTGCCATCGCCGGACGAAGGCAAGGGCCATGGTTCCACCTACGCCTACCACAAAGGAGCCTTCCCTTGGCACTACTGGCACGCTTCCAAAGGCAGGGCGCGCAAGCCGCACGGAAACAGGAGATGGGGGTGGCACGGGAAGCAGCACTTCTCATACTCGCTGACGCAAGAGGGATTGGAGAGGAAGACCGTCAACCAGGAGCGCAGGGTCCTCCGATCCATGCTAGCCAGCGAGGGATGTTTTTTCCTGAGCTGCCTCTCGGATATCTTCAATAAGGCCGCCGAAACCGTGTCGGACTTCGTCGCGAAAACCGCCGACACCGTAGCCTCCAAAGTGACGACGCTTGCTGAGAAGGCGGCAGCCTGGGCTGAGGGTGCAGTGAACGATGCTGTCAAGTGGGGAACCCAGGCCGTCGCCGACCTCGTGGATTGGTCCGAGGAAGCAGCCAGACAGGCAACTACATTTTGGGAAGTTTCGAACGTGGTGCTCGAGGAAGCGCTGGATCACTTTGCCCAAGTCGGAGCCGCGTTTGCGATGGAGGCTGCCGAAGCCGCCGGAGAATTCTTCATGAGCGCCTTCAACACTGGCAAAGAAGTCATCGGCACATTCTTGGAGAAGCACCTCGCCAACATCCTGGATGAGGCCAATGTCCAACCGAGACCCACTTTCTGTGGTGGCGTTGTGTTTCCCGACGAAGCTCTTTCCGTGGTCAGCAACCCCAACAACGACTGTTGGAAAAAAGTGACCGACATGACCGAGGAGATCGCCGACTTCTTCGTCGACGACGTTGGGCGGCTCCTGGACGCAATTGCCACGCGCGTGTCAAACATGCTGGAAGATGAGGACTTATGGAAGGCATTGCTTGGCAAGCTTGGGCTTACCCTGATCGAAAGCCTTGCCTCACTGGTACTCCCCATATCTCGGTCAGTCAATGTCTACAAAGATATCTTGGCGGTCATGGTGACCTATTTGAACACGCACCTTCTGCCCTTGTACGCAGACCTTTCAGCCTTCTTCGCCGATGTCGGAAGGTTCCTGGCCGCGTTGTCCGAACGAACGTCGAGCCTTATCAATTCTGTCTTCAACGAAGCTGGCCCCTTCAACTTCAATGGCTTCGAAGGGAAAACGTGGTACATTTCGCTGTGCACGGAAACGTTCTTTCTCGGATTCACCCTCGGCTCCTGCATCTACTACCCCTTCAAGTACGGCGCCACTGACAACGACTACTTTGTCATCGAAGTAGGCTTCGGGGTCGAGAAGGACCTTGGCACTCGTTCACTTAGCACAGAACTCGGAGTCGAAGGCGGCATCCAGATCGGGCCCATCATGACCAACGACAAGAGTGACTTGGAGGGGCAGTCATTCTCAGTCGGCTTGGACATCGACTTCCAGACGAGGAACCCCAAGACCCCGAATATCAACGTCGGCCCATCCATGACTTATGGCATCAGCCCGGTAAAGCTGTTGACTCTCGACTTTTTCGCCGGCATCAACTTCGCGCTCGACTTGTTGGACACGCCGGATGGGGGAGTGTCCTTCAGCTTCTGGAGCACGAAGCAGTACGCTTGGAAGCTGCCTGGGCTGCGGGAAATCCTGGGGCCCGTCTTGGGCAATCTGTTCGAGACTGGCCCCACGGCCAAAAAGGAGTACAACTACAACGCTGGGGCAGGTGGCCTTGTACAATTGGCGGACGGGCTGCTGTCCCGTGGCAACCGAACTTCGAAGAAGCGGACATCAATGGACCAGTCGCTCTTCATAGGCGAAGGCAAGGGTGGCGCAGGTGGCGCAATCATCGACGGGGTCACAAGCACTGTCAGCTCCGTGGTCAACGTGGGAGAGGTCGGCTTGATACAGGCCGTGGACAAGGTTGCACCAGACTTCACGCAACCTACTCCTCCCCTGGTTGCAACTCCCCCGTCGCCCGGGCCGCCCCCACCTCCTCCCATTCCGGAGCCGGCGCAGGTGGACGACGTGTGGTTGAGGGGTTTCCTGATTGCCACTGGCAGCCCCTTGGAGGGCCCGATGGAGTTGCCAGCAAAGCGGCGGTGGGTCTACGTTGCAGGTGCGGACTGTGCAGTGGGCACGGCCGTGACCACCGAAGCAGAATGCAATGAGGCCTCCTTGTACCTGGAAGCCGCGCCGCACCGCGGCAATGACCTTGACGTCGAAGTAGGAGCTTGGAAAGACATACCTTTGGGCTGCTCCATTAAGGGGAGTGCCGACACTCCGCGCAACTACCAGAAAGTCCACTGGAACACCGACGCCCGGACGAACAGCGCCCGTGCAACAACCGACGAGTTCCGTGCCATCTGCCGCAGGCCCTTCTACGTGGCGCAGCAGAGTCAGAGGGACTGCATGGGTGGCGCCAGGATTCTCCGCAAAGACACGTGTGTCGACGCGTACATGCAGCTGCAGTCGAGCTTTAAGAAGATCCTCCCGCCTCGGTCGATGCCGCTGCCGCAGATGAACCCAAGCGACAAGCGCATTCCGCCGGCCTGCTCTGTCGAGTGGGACGTGACCGACAAGAGGCAGCTCTTCTTTGCAAGCGACTTCTCGAAGACCTTCTCACCAACTGCCGGTCAGGACTACGCTCGGCCCGTGTGCAAGAAGCAGCAGTATTGGCTCGAAAGGCCTGGAGCCACCTCCTGCCCAAGAGGCTCGCAGATCACAAGCAAGGAGGAGTGCGAGAATGCCTACCAGAACCTGAAGGATCGCCTTCCGCGTCTCCGTGCCCGGGACCGAACCATACAAGGCTACTGGAATGCCTTGCTCGCGGGCTGCGCGGTCCAATACAAGGGAGACATGACGCCTCACTTCAACACCAACCCGGCACCTACGAATATGCTGCGGGATGGGCTCGGCTTCTACGTCCCTATGTGCAAACAGCCCAGCTGGTGGCTGGGAGAAAATGGGGGCCGCTGTCCTATGGGAACAGAAATCACCACGTTCCTGGAGTGCAAGATGGCACACAGGGCGTTGCGCCACGAGTACCCGACGAACCCGAAAAAGAGCTTCGTGGTGACGGATGTCACGCACATTCCACGAGGCTGCTCTGTGCCTAAGGATCACAAAGAACCACATGGACCAGACGCCCACTTCAATGTTGCCAAGGGCGACAACGTGCATAAGGGCTGGTACCCGATCTGCAAGCCAGCTCGATACGTCTTGGGTCGCCGAACAGTCCGACGCTGCCCTGAAGGCGCTGAGATCCGTACGGCCGAAGAGTGCCTTCGTGCCCACAACACTCTCAAGAAGGAGATCAAAAAGGCCTATGGAGGCTGGCGCTCCAAGGGACTGATCAGCCTATACGCTCCGGGCAACGAGATTCCGCCCTTCTGCAGCTCTGGTGGCGGCCCGGACACGAGCCCCTACTTCAACATCAACGCCATCTCCTTGGGCTCTGGTGCAGACAGCGGGAAGTACAAGGTGGTCTGCAAGGTGGCGGTCACGGGTCAAGAGGCCCCGGCGACCCCTATCATCGAGCTCGGGCCGATTCGGGCCACGTACCACATGCTCAACGCCGACGGCTACACCTGCGAGCCCAAGAGTCTGACCTTCGATCCAAGCTTTCGGCAGCCGGACACTCTCAAGCTGGCCCTCGTTTGCTGCAACGGAGCCCGGGCAATTGCCATCAAAAGCGGCGCCACTTGCAGTCCTGTAGGCCTGACGTGGGAGCTTGCCAGGCAAGCGTGCGAGGACCGTGGCGAACGCCTGTGCAGCAGTAACGAGGTCACTTGGGGGGGGATTTGGAATAGTCTTTAAATGTCTATGGGTTCTAGTCCTAAAACAAATTTCAGTTTACATTTTTATGGGGCCCCCGAATCCACCCTAGGTCAGTTTGGATGCAGACTCTGCAAGAGCCTGGATCGACGGCCAATGCTCATCGAGCACAGGAGTCGCCCCGAGCTTCTGGACAATTGAGGACTGCTACTTGTAGGGAGGCGCAGGCCCTACGTAGTCCCTCATAATTTAGCCTGAAACATAAGGGTTTAGGAGTTTAGGATTTAGGCCCTTGAGCCCCTAACCCCCCCCAACAAAAAAAATCAAACTAAGCCCTTGTGACAGAGGGACTCATGGGCGTTTTTAATTTAAGCCGGTTGTACAGGTTTGAAGTGTTTCAAGTCGTTATTTTCCACCTGCACCTGCGATGCGGTTTCGGGTCTTGCTTTTGGGCTTGTGTAATGTAGGGTTTGTTTGAGTTAGATTCTTGGGGTCTTCTGGCTCGCAGGGTGCAGATGATAGGGCGCAAAAGCATGCGCCAATTAGCTGCACGTCCTAGCACCCCTTCGACCGCGTGGGCTGCTTGATCGCTGCTTCCTGAAGGGGCAGTATCTCAGTGCTCACATGCGGATTTTGCACGGATCGAGCTGCGTGCTCCCAACAGTGCTTGACATTCTTCCAACATTGCTTCCGAAGGCTCTTCTCAGAATTGCTGTTGTTGCTCCTGTGATTATTCTTCTTGAAGCCTTGTGGAGGTACCTAGCTCCAACTGCACCGTGAATCCCTTTCTCCGCGTCCAGGATTCTATCGGCCCCTTACATCCCGTAGACTCGATGCCCTAGGAACCCTAGAAGCCCCGAAACTCTTGTGCCTGGGAACAGCCAACACAGGCGTGTGTGATGGCTTTGCGTAAGTTCGGATGGAGGGCCGACATGAATCTCGCAGTCGCTGTCTCCGCTATTTTTGCCATCCAAATGGCCCGGCCTAAACCCCAAGCCCTAAATTTCCTAAAGGACCACGGAACACCCGGCCGGGGCCTATGTGCGAGTGTGTATATGTTTTGATGGCTGCTGGAACCGGAAAAATTTTAATCAGCTCAGCTCGTTATAGAGAGAAGCTTTGGGCCGGAACTCGCGCAGCAACGACGTGGATCAATGCCAGCAGGTAGAAATGGGACCAGTGAAAACCATGCAACTTTTCACTGCACATTGCGGTGTGGTGCATAGAATTCTTGACGAGGACAAGAACATGGAGAAAGTCCCCAGCTTAGCAGTCGGACATCTGTCTCCAGATACGGCTGGACCTATCATTTTTGTTCTTCCTGTGTGCCTGGACACGGCTTCCAGCATATCGACTCACATCAGGCAACTCAGTTCGAAGTCCTGAATCCCTACAGACAATTTCCGCGCTGGCCACGTCATGAGTAAGGCACTTTAGGAAATACAGCAGTGCTTCCTCAAGAAGCATCAACACTCAGGCCGAGGAAACCTCGAAAGTCTTCCGCGAGGTGAAGCCTATGAGGCCGAACTGTGAGAGTCAAATTCGGTGTAAATTTGGGCTTAGGGTTTAGGGTTTTCAGGTAACAAGGTTTGGAGTTTAAGGCCTTGTTATTAAGGCCCATGTCTGCTGGCACATTCTCAAGATGGCTGTGGCTCGGCATGCACGGTACTGTGGATGGAGGAAAATCTTTGCACCGCTTTCAGGACACAGAAGTAGCTACGCCCCGCACCTGTGGCTTTTGCACATTTGGTCCAATGACATAAATCTTGCACCGCCTCCAGGATGCCAAGACTCAATGTTAAGAAGGGTGCGCGGTAAATTGGGTCGACCTAGATGAGTAGGTGGTGCAAGATTTCCTCCATCCACCGTGCCGCCTTTTCTTGGCTTGCTGGGCTGTGCCTGCTTCAATCGACAGGCCCTACGAAAGTTCATGGAAAGCAGCTGACGAGCAGACGACAAAATCCGCCAGAGTCTTATGTAAGGTATACATATATCATATGTGCATACCCTATCTGTGTCCTTTTCATACTCTACCTCCGTGAGTTTGTTCGAGGAATGACCGCGGAAGACGTTTGCCCCCCCAAAATACATTTTTAAATGAACATCATCCCAATTGGAAAAGTCTTCTGCCATCCCGAATTAACAATTCTGGATTCTATTTTATCTTTTTATTTCTGATTCGAAGAATAATCGAGAATATATGATTTCATTTCTATTGTTGTCATTGAAGAATTTTAGACTAACAATGGTAAAATTTAGGGGAAGTAGGCGAGTTTCGTCATTCAAAAACAATGATTGTGTTTTGATTTGGGCATGTATACATTTCTCGCGGTTATTTTTTTCAGGAATTTGGGTGCAGTTTCATGATTTGTTGGGTGAATTTGTGTTTCTTTTTTATGGAAAATGTTCGTTGATAATTTTATGCCCACCGACCGCGCGCTCGCGCGCAGACCTGCTCTCTTATAGTGTGAAAGTAGACGAGGGCGCCCAGTAGCTGCTAGTTCTCTCAATCAAGAACAGGTACTTAAGGAACACCAGAGATAGATTAGGAAACCTTTACATGGGCCGTGCCTCTGCATGTCTTAAATGCATACAGCGTTATATCTCCTGCTTGACTCGGCCAAGGGAGCAGCCACAGCTGGCGATCTGCTGTATGCTTCCTAAGGTCAGAGGATGCGCGAGGGCCAGAACATCAACAGCTCGCTGAGTGTCCTTGGACAGGCCGAAGCAGACACAGGGCCAAGGCATGTCAAAACGGATGAGAGCTGCCTCATACCGACCTTAACTACTAAAAGGGGTGCTTCGCCAAGAGAAGGTGTACCAGAAAGAGGGAATCAGATCCGCAGCTTGTCGGGTAGAGCACAACTAGGACCCCAAATAGCACAACTAGGACCCCGAGTAGGCTCTTCTTTCCTTCTTTCAAGGCTCCCTCAGAAGCCCCTATAATCCAAAAGGCACATGCCCTTCTATTCCTAGGTTACTCTTCGGTCTAGACAAAGAGAGCCTGACATCAACAGGTCATCTCGAAGCTGGCCCAGGGCAAGTTCAAGCACGTGCCCTTCAGGCGCCACAGAGAGCCCAACGCAAACCCTCAGCTGCCCCCAGTGCCTTCTTCTTTCATTATATGCCACAAACTTGTCTTAGGTTTAGGGCTTAGGGTTTAATGAGGGTTTAGGGTTTAGGGTCAAGGCCAGAGTCGTCGGCCCGTCTTCGGCCGCTTCGCAAGAAAACCCCAAGTGATCGAGTCATCTTGACGCCGCAATATAGGTGAGTCTTCACCTTTCACGAACACGAAGCTGGTTTAGGGTTTGAGTTTTGTAGCAGCCTTAACAACTAGAAGGGCTATTGCAGATGGCTTACAAAGAATGAGTATAGAAGAAATTCCAGCAGGCGATATTTTTGGTAAGATACTCAGATGTGATATGGCGTTACTACGTGGATAGGGTACCTACTCATAAAGGGTTGTTAGGAGACCATTGTCCGTCAAAGTATGCCTGGGCATTGGTGTGCGATGAAGGCAAAGCAAGCTGACCTATCTTCTGACGGACGCACTGAACGGCAACAGCAAGACACACATGGCCGCCAGCTTACGTGTGAAAAAGCCTTGGTTTGCACAAGCGAGCCTTAATTGTTTGCTTACTTGACTTACCTGCGGTCGTTTAAGTAAGTTTGTTTCCCGGTAGCTTTGTGGAAGCTGCATGCGTGCCCTAACTTATAGGGACGGTGTCCGAGCAGTTAATATTGATATTGCCCCCCCCCCCCCCCCCCCACGAACCGAAATGCCGAAAGCGATTGCAAATTGTAATTCGAGGCTTGTCCCGGCAGAAACTACTTAGGGCAGTTGACGGCCTCTGAGGTTGCAGCAATCTCTCGCCAGCACCGAGATGGAGGACGTTCACAGCATCCCATGGCAGAGACCACAAGGCTTAATGTGGCCATTGTGCTGACATGAAGAAAGCCGCCTTCAAGTCAGCATTGTTCTGAAATGAGAGGAGACGCTTCGGGACGCTTCGTTTCGCGAGCTCTGTCAAGAAGGCCTGTTGTTCAAAGGACGATTCGCTTGACTATCGTTCCGCATCTGTGTCGACAGCGCTTCGTAGTGGGGGGGGTGGGGGGGGAGGGGGGGGGAAGGACTGGGGGTGCGAAGAAGCAGTGGGTTTTCACTGACGCCGCCCCCGGCTGGGGTCGGCGGATATATAAGGTCTTGTAATTTTGAGGCATATTCCATTGCAGTCTCTGAGTATTTCTGAAAAAAAAGGGATATTGTCTCTGGGTAGCTAAGCCCGTCTGACACATTTTAGCTTCGAGTCTGCTCTGCTCAATGCACAGTCGACTTTCAGGTTGATCTCTGCTCTGAATTTCGGGTCTTGGGGTTTAGGGTGCAGGGTTGTGGGTTGTAGGGTTTCGGGTTGTAGGGGTTAGAGATTGTTCTTAGAGTTCGGTAAGAAACTGTCTACCAGGGTGACTTTAGCACTTTGGCAGGCCCTGGCAGGCCTGAGCCTGCCATTTGCCACTGGCGGCATGCTGGGAGGCCTTTCTTTTTTTGTTTGAGGGGGGGGGGGGGGGGGGGGCTTGGGTTCAAGGTGTTCCAAAGTGCCGCGGTCCCGACCCGCGCCAGGGAGTGGTGGCTGAGAAACAAGTGGATTTACAAGAACCCCTGCTTCGAACAACCCTGCCATGGCTCACACAAACGCGGAGATTTTACACGCAAGCAAACAAAGAAAGGTCCTTGAACTGATAGCTACTTCTAGGGACTGTGGGCTACAGCACCTACAGTCTGAAACGTTGGTTGTGCTGTACGGTTGAAGCATGCTCAAGGCTTACTGACCGAAGCGAACCCCCCGATGAGGCTCCGGTTGTCGACCATTTACCATCACAGTTGTCGACCCTTTGCCATCACGGCATTGCCAGGCCAATCGGGTCCTATGGGTCCTAGTTCTTGTTTACGCTGACCTCGACAAGCTTACTCATTGCTTATACTCGCAGGATTGGAGCACGTGCGCTCCATCGCCAAGCTCAACACGTTAATCGTGAGCCGGACT